TCGTGTCGCCAGCCTCACCTTCATGCGACCCCGTCGGAAGCGCCCCCGCGCGCTCAACCACCTTGTCCCGACTACTGTCCCGCGACCATACCTGCCCGAATTCCTGAGGTGACCCTCCCTTCCCCGACCAAGACTCCAAAAATGTTTTTAAATCACTTAACAATTGTACAGAGTGTCATGTGTGTGTGGACTCACCGTTCAAGCCCCTGGCCGCAGCTGGCCGCAGGGGCGCCGTCCTTCCGTCCACCGATAAAGGTACCGGAGTGTCCTGTTGCCGCCGACTCCCATCCGCCTGGTCCCGCCTCGAGACCGTAGGGGTATTGCTCCGTGACCTGTAGGGAGAAGAAATCCTGGGTAGTCTGTTCAGCGTAGGGTCTACCCGCCCTTCCTCCCCACGTTCCCGCCAACCATCTCGTGTAACGCTCCGCCTCGCCTGCTGCCTCAACCTGCAATCTGCTCCCCTCGACTGTGCCTGGAATCTCCTCTCCGACGAACCAGATGTGCTACGCTGACGCCTCCTCATTCTGTCCCTGGAAGTGGACCTCCCACAGTCTTCCCTGCAACAGGACCCAGCTGCGCCGCCTCCGCTCCGCGCCGGTGACCCATCACCGCTCCCTTGACTCCCTGCTCTGCTCCTCGTGCTGCTGCGACTGGCACCCGCATAGCGCCGTTCTGCTCTCCGCTCACTCCTTGCGTCCTCCCTGTCCGAATGCTGCCCCTGAGAGCAGCCGGAAGGGCCCTCCCGTCTGCTGCCATCACTCCTGTCACCTCCAGCCTGAAGTGCTCTCTGCCCTTCTCCTGCCATCGCTCCGCCTGACCTCCCTCCTGCCACTGATTCTGGTTCTTTGCCCTGGCTGATCGCCTTGCACCCTGATCCAGCAGTCCCCCCTGCCAGCAGGCCTTCCCTACCATCCTCCCTCCTGGCCCCCGCCCGGGCCGTTTCTGCGCTGTCCCTGTCGTCCCAGCCTCCCCCAGACACGTGGGGGGCTGTCCGTGCCACCAATCCTCTGTCAACACCAATCCCCTGCCCCACAGCAGTGCCAACAGTGGCTGACTCACCGGGACGTTCAGGCTCCACACTCCCGCTCCCGTGGCCGTCCTCCGACCTGACCGCCGAGCCGGCCGCCTCCTGGAAAGCTGCAACTCCCTCACTCCTGCCAGCCGCAGACCCGCGCGGCGTGCGCCTTCCAGCCGCCGGGTGCTTTACGGCCGTCCTTGCCTGACCGCTGCTGCGCCCGCCGGACCGAGCTGTGCGCCTACCCGGCTCCTGGAACGGGACCTCTCCCGCCCCCGTGGACACTCCTGCTCCCGCTGATGGACTTCGTCGGCGTCTCGCCGCGAGCCCAGCGCCCGGGCTCAAACGCTGCGGCGGTCTCGTCCTCCGAGCCGGTCGGCGAGCTGGTACCGCAGAGGAAGGCCCGGCCGCCCCCAGCTGTTGATGCAGCCACTCGAGTCCTCTGTCCTTCACCGCCGCCCGAACTCCCTCCAGGATCTCTTCTAACGACGCCATGGACCTGCAGAACGACAAAAAACAAGGAACCTCTCTGACCTGCAACAAACTACAGGTAAGAGGGGCCCCGGTTAAAATGGCCCCTATTCTAACATGGCTTCCTTTTATACTCCCACTCCCCACCCCCAGACTCCATTCCTAAATCCGGCCCACAACCTAAGCCCATGCCCCCTCCCTGGCTCTGTCAAGGCCCACTCCCCCTACTGCGTTGCTCCATGGGCTTCATGCCTCTCTCATTTTGACCCTGCAATGTAAAACATTGCCATTATGCAGAAAGAGCAATGTTTTACATTGCAGGATTTACATGCCTCTAGTGGCTGAAATGCGGACCAGTGTTAATTTTGGCAGCAAATTTCAATTTAGTTTTTTGCCACTTTAGTTGGATTTTAGTCATCTAAATTGTTTTAGTAGACTAAATCTCCAGTAGATTTTAGTCCACACGAATAAAATCTAATGGGTTTAGTTAAAGCCTCTGTCTCTTTTTCCCCTTCCCCAGCCCCTCTGTGTCTCTTTGTGTCCTCTCAGCCCCTCTAGGTGTCTCTCTCCCGAGCCCTGGTCTGTCTCTTTTGTCCCTTCCTCAGGGATCTGTACTTGAACCCATTCTCTTTAATATTTTTATTAGTGATATTGCAGAAGGTCTTGATGGTAAGGTATGTCTTTTTGCTGATGATATTAAGATATGTAACAGGGTTGATGTTCCAGGAGGGATAAGCCAAATGATTTAGGTAAACTAGAAAAATGGTCAGAATTGTGGCAACTGACATTTAATGTGGATAAGTGCAAGATAATGCATCTTGGACGTAAAAACCCAAGGGAAGAGTACAGAATATTTTGACATCTGAGGAAAGGGATTTAGGAGTGATTAGGGATTTAGGGGTGATTATTTCTGATGACTTAAAGGTAGGCAGACAATGTAATAGAACAGCAGGAAATGATAGCAGAATGCTTGGTTATATAGGGAGAGGTATTAGCAGTAGAAAGAGGGAAGTGCTCATGCCATTGTACAGAACACTGGTGAGACTTCACTTGGAGTATTGCAATGCATTGGAGACCTTGGCCTCAGAAGGATATTGATACCCTTGTGAGAGGGTCTGCAGAAGGCTTACTTTAAACTGTCCATGATTGCGATGTTCCCACTTATGGAAAGGCCAAAGGATCTTAACATGTATAGCTTGGGAGGAAAGACGGTGACAGGGGGGATATGATTTAAATACATAAAGGGAATCAACACAGTAAAGGAGGAGACTATATTTAAAAGAAGAAAAACTACCACAACAAGAGGACATAGTCTTAAATTAGAGGGACAAAGGTTTAAAAATAATATCAGGAAGTATTACTTTACTGAGAGGGTGGTGGATGCATGGAATAGCCTTCCAGCTGAAGTGGTAGAGGTTAACACAGTAAAGGAGTTTAAACATAAAGGCTACTCTAACTATAAGATAAGGCTAGGGACTAATGAAAGTGTTTAGAAAATTGGGCAGACTAGATGGGCCGAATGGTTCTTATCTGCCGTCACATTCTATGTTTCTATGTTTCCACAGCCCCTCTATGCAGTGTTAATTTTGGCAGCAAATTACAATTTAGTTTTAGTCATAGTCTTTTGACTAAAAAGCAATTTTAGTTTTAGTCATATTTTAGTCATCTGAATTGTTTTAGTTTTAGTCTAGTTTTAGTCAACTAAATCTCAAAACTTTTAGTCGACAAAATTAACAATGGTACTGACAGCCACTAGAGGTGCTTCCACTACACATCCCATTGGCGCAGTGCAGCGTTTTGTATTGTATGCGCACTAGCCTCCCAATGCTTTTTATGGGAAAGTATTGGATTGGTTAATATAATTAAGATTGTTCATCTCAGCCAGGGAAGAGGGGCAAGTCGCAGAGAAAGCAGCGCAATGTGGTATAGTTAGATAAGGCACGTAAAATACCTTTTTAACTTTTGCGGGGGGTGGCAAAGTGCATACGTGTTGGCAAAGCAAACTGGACGGTGCTCTTATGAACTGATTTTTTTCTCAAATTACTTCAAGCCCCAGTAACATAATACAAAAACACGTATGGGATTTCTCTATTGATTTCACTTGACAAATGAAGATAACCTTGGCTCTGCAGATATAAACCACACTTCCCAGATAGTTGCAAGCCTTTTCGAATTTCCAGAACCATAAGGTAATAGACATAAACCATTGTTGTAGACTCACTATAGTGTGAATGGCTGTTACACAAAATAGATCATAAATTATTATTAAATTATAGACGGGGCTTAAAATCTTACGTCCTATGCTACCGGCAGTCCTTAAATGTCACTCACCACTGCAAGCCATGTTATACTTACCAGAGTTTTATTTGTACAAGCCAGGGCTAAATTTTCACTCGCCAATTGTGAGCAAAAAAAAAAGATATCCTAAGCCAGCGATAGTCAACCTTTGCACTCCTTATATTGCGGACTACGTTTCCTAGGATTCTTTGTCTACATTATGGCTGAAAGAGCATTACGTGTAATGTAGTCCACAACATCTGGAGTGCCGAAGGTTGCCTACGCCTGCCCTAAGCCATACCCCTTAACAGACTATTGACCCAGCATATCAGAGTACATACCCAAGACAGTAGGACAAGACCCCAAGTTCAGGACTATGCCATCGAATCCGGGAGTGTTGAGAGGTATGCCCTAAGCATCTTAAATCATGTCAGCAAGATATTCAAGTTAGGGCACTGCCTGACCCTCTGCTACGCTTTAGAAAATGGGGATATTTCATATCTGTATTATCTCCAAATTTTGATGGCGATGATAATTTATGAGTAGTGGGGGCTCTTCAGCCCAGCACTCTATGCTTATCATTACTGTAGTTGTACGGCTAATGCGGACATTCACCTCTGAAATGATTCAACCCACAGCAGTAGCACTGCGTCACCCTGATTTATGTAAACCTGCTCCAAAAACAGACTCCATACTGTAATGGCTAAGCAGCTTACGGTATCCCTTTAATGTTAATTAAAAAGAAAAAAAATGACACTAAAAAGGGCAGCAGAGTAGGAGGCATCTTGGCACCACAGGAAACAGTACAGTAATTTACTCTAATAATTATAGTCTTTAAAATGTCCCTTTCAATATTTTATTTTAACCTGCAATTGCTTCATTTCATTTGTTTAATTGTGTCCCTAATTTTTTTGTTTTTAATTATATGGATTCATGCAAACACTAATAAATATAAAATTAGTTAATTAAAATAAATAAATTAATTAAAATAATCCAGCATTGTTTGTTGGGGATGGGGAATGGCTAACAGGGTGACACAATCCCTTTGTTTCCAATGGGGCTGGTCACTCTAGGTTAGCCTGTGCATGTCAGTGGTACGTTCGACTCGCTCGGCGCTCCGTGTGCCTGCGATTTCCCTGCCATTGACAGACCGTGGGGGCTGGTGACGTCAGCGCGGGTGACGTCAAGGAAGGGGAAGGTGGTGGGGGGGGGGAATGAGAGCGCATCGATGCTCTCTGCGATCTGCAAGGCTGATGAATCGCCGCCATTTTCGGAGGCTGACACAGGGAGGGCTGCTGGTTACTGAGTACCCGGAGCAGCGGGACTGAGCACGGACAGGTGAGTGGGGCAGGAGGGCGGGGGGTTACCGGCTTACCGCTGCTCCAGCTGCCTTATGGAAGGGGGCCTTCATACAGGCCGGCCATGCTTGTGTCCTTTGTACTGCGCTGCGGACTAGGTTGGCGCTTTCCCAAATAAAGAATGGGCTCACAGTAACCATGGTAACCCACAGGTGGCTGCCAGCTTGTGAGCCTCCCATTATGGACTTTGCCATATGGCTCATGCTGCCATGGGGTTAGTCATTCTCCATGTAACCAGGGGCAGGCAGGCAGGCAGCCTGCACCCTCACTACTACTTAGACTACAAATCCCATGATGCACTGCCTAACCTGCCTCCATCCACAGGCACTATGATAATTTCTTATTTAGTGTGTAATGTATTTATGGAAGTGGTTTCACTCTGTCATTGCTAGGTTTTTATTTTTGGGCTAAAATGATGCTTTTTTTTATTTTATTGTATATTGAATTTAAAAATATATTTATTTTTTTATTATGGGTATGTACATCACATGTAGCAAATACAATAAATGGCAATACATGTTGCTGAAATATCCCATACAGCCAGCACACACACACACACATTTTTTGTTTTACTTTTTTATTTTAAAGAACAATTTAATGTGTCAATGCTAATATGTGTGTATGGACTAAACAGAGATATTCATAATTATAAACCGAACAGTGTTTTATTTTTTTTTTATTTTTTTTGCAGCCAGTGTGACAGCATTTAGGGGCAGGAAATAGCCCTTGTAAGGAGACCAAGGGTTGGCAAATATTTTTATCATGACATCTCTGTGGTGTCATTTGGAATCTGAATAAGAATCCAGGAGTCATGGCTACCTGCTTCTAGGGTTTGGGCATTCTAAATACAACATATATAAGTAATTTATGTTCTATAATTGTACATCCCATCCATTTTTGGATTCGTGAAGATTGCCTCACATGCCATATTGTATTTTTTTATTTATATATATATATATATATATATATATATATATGTCTTCTAGTCCTCATATTTCTGAAGTCTGTCCAACAGATGGTCTGCAAAATAGTCTTCCTCCACAAATCACCAGCTTGTAAAGGCATTTGTATATTAGCCATACAATAGTTTCTATTGCTGCAAGATCTAGTGCCTATATGCATATTTTTAAACCTCTTTGATAGTGAAGTATTGTGACCTGCATTGGACAAAAAGGCAAGTTTTTTTGAAAGAAAATCTCAGTAGCTGTCTAGCATTATCCTGTTTTTACTTGCAAATGTGTAACCTATTGGTTAATAAGGAAGTAACCAGTCCATTTCTTTAACCCTTTCATGACATATGATGTGCGTTTACACATAACTTTGTCATGAAGGGGTTAAATGGATATACTTGAATGATTCTTCCTGTGGTAAATACTCAATTTTCTTATTTTCAAGAAAAGACAATATTTTTCTAAAATCATGTCTGTAAAACAGGATCAATGTTCATCACATAGCTAAACGTGCATCCTTTTTATATATTTTTTTTGATTTGTGGTGGAATTTAGGGCACAGTGACCATCACCTTTTTAGTAAAAGCCATTTGAGTTTTACAAAGTCCATCCCCACTTATGTTTGTCACATGCTGAGTTAAAAGCACCTTGGATTTGAATGACACCTTAGGTGGAAGTGCTGTGTAACACGTGTTATTACCAAATTAACTGTACCGCATGTCTTCCACCATGTGAAAGGTGTAAGCTCGTTTTATACTGTATTTACTGCTTCTTAAGCTTTAGTAAGGGAGGTGTAATCAAAACATGTGTAGTTTAGAAGCAACTCCCATAAAGCTGCAAGAGGTCCATGATTAGCAGAGATTTCTGGGATTTTGAAATCTGAAGTGTTTGACTGTCATTGCATTTACACTGTTGGTGCCTCGTAATTTTTTTTTTTTTTCTGAAGGCATTTGGTTTTTAAATATATTAGCTGTTACAACCTTGATTTTATTTATTTATTTATAATTTTTTTAGATTTTTACGTTTAAAACATTTACTTTATAAGCTTAGCACTCAGGACATTAAAATGTCTGAAGTCGTGTCAAGTAAGCACAATCGGCAACTATAGCAGCTTCACGTTGTCCTCTGAAAGTAGTTTTTTCCACAATCTATTTGTTAGTCATGTGTTTGAAATTCTTTAGCACCGAAACTTCCTTTTTTTTTTTTTTTTTGTCATGTGATCTTTCCTTATTGATTACCGGTAGTTAGGAACATGCAGAATAATTCACTAAAATTTGATTATTTCTTTCAGGAATTCACCAGGGAATTGGTTATAATGGATAAAAAGTTTAAATTCCTTGGTGAATTTCTCACAATTCACAACTTGGCAAATGACCCTGAGACTTTTGATACAAATTATATATACTGGCTCTCTGCCCAGGTTTCTCTTCCTCCAACTTCAATGAATGTCCTGTTTAGCCTCCTTCTGCAAAAAAAAAAAACTCACCTATTTGTACCTATTTATTTTGTACCTGTGTAAAGTCATCCACGTGGCCACTTTAGAAATGTACGTGTTAATTCTCCATCCAGTACTTTTCATGCAGAGCAATCCATTGTTGGTAATTTTAGTAGTGGTTTATCTGTAAACAGTCATGCAAAATATTGTTGAGGTTTACCAGTCAGAAGAAAAGCTTGGAAATATATGCACCCCCCAAATAACGTGAAAGGCATGCCACACAGTATGGCCCCAAATGTCAAGGAGCTTTGTACAGAAGTGCCCCGATGAGCGTGCAAAGTAAAATATTTTATTGTTTCTTCGGTTTGAGTAATTACAGTTAATTGAGTTCCAACTAAATTCAAAACACAAAATTTTTGCAAACACTAAGATTTGTGTACTAAACCTTTTATTAGCACCTGATAGTCAGATTTTTAACATTCATAATCACCCTATTTTATATGTTAATAGAAAAATATGGCGCACTAAAACACATTCTAAAATAAGGTCAAAATAGCTCAGCTGCAATAAAAAGTTCAAATCTACTCTTTTGACGTCTTCGATATTTTGGCAGAAAATGTTCCTTCACTTTTTGGTAAGTAAACCCCTATAATTTCCAGGTGGCCATCCGGAGTTTGTGATGAGCAGCATACTATATCTCTTGAAAAGGTACATTTAACTCTTCCTTTCCTCTCTTGCACCACATGTCCGCCACCCTCACTATTCTTTTCTCCATCAATTTAGACTTCATGCTACTTGCTACCCAGATTCACACTCTAATCTAGTCAACTCACACACTTTATTCCCTACTCGACCGTAACACTCCATCTCTCCGTTCATGGTGTGTTTCTCCCTCCCAAAAGAGTCTGTGTCTGCAGGTTGGTGAATACACATCCAGGTACTAAGGAGTAAATGGTGTTTCCACAAAATACATTTTATAATTGTGTACATATTTAATTGACATTAAAACACAATTTGGGGATACCCCTCTGGAGGCCTTCTCCTATGTGAGGGAATGGGAGAGGGATCTGGGCCCTCCGAGCGATCCCTCCGACTGGGCAGACGTTTGGGAGGCCACAGCCTCAGTCACGATTTGTGTAAACCATAAGGAGCAGGCGTACAAAACCCTGCTCCGATGGTACGTCACCCCCCTAAAGCTCAAACAGATGCGGCAATCGAACTCCGATCGCTGCTGGAAGGGCTGCGGGGCCCAAGGCACGTATTTCCACATGTGGTGGGAATGCGTACATGTCTCCAGGCTTTGGAAGGCGGTTGTAGACGTCACCTCCGGAGCACTGCAAACAGCCCTCCCAATTGACCCGTGGACGTGGCTGTTGTCCAAACCCTTAGAGGCCCTACCCAGGGCACAGAACAAATTAGTGGCAAAAATAGCGCTGGCGACGAGAAGGACTATAGCAGCCCACTGGGGACGGGCGGATATTCCGGCAATGCCAGAGGTGCGGAGGAAAATAGAGGAGTCCAAGGAGATGGATGAATTGTCTGCCCTGGTTCATGAGACGACTGACTCGGTTGGGAAAGTCTGGGGCACAGTGTAGTATTGGCGGGGGAAAGGGGGGGGTTGGAGGGAGACCTCGACCCTCCGGACCCTCTCACCACCCTGTTTAGCTCCTGATGGAGCCCCCCCCTCCCCCCATTAGCCACCACCCCTACCAGACCTGTTCAAGAAGTTCCATATCCTAAGAGAACCGATATGTCTCCGCCATCCATATACACCAAACTCACTTACACTGGTAGAACCCGAGCCATCAGTTAGGACAAAAGAGTGCCACCATTTGGAGAGCTAGTTAAACCACAAGTATTTATCAGGCTATAGTTTTTTCTGACACTAAGCATTGACTTAGTTACGCCTTACTTTTCATGTTTGCTCCAGTTGAGCATTCCTTTCACGGTTCAGATTTGTAGTGCACATGGCAAGCTGACCTCAACGTTGATCCACCTACCCCTGACATAGGCTAAACTGAATCAAACGTATAGACCAGGGCATCTCCGCACTCTCGCTTCCCCAGGGAATAGGAGTAGGTGCATCCCCGACTGCCCTTACGCACTGAGGGGGACTTGAGTTAATCTAGACACAGTTGGCTAACAATCAGGTTTTGGGTAGCTAATGTGTACTATGATCTGCTGTTCCCCCACACCCTTTTCTTTTCTGTATCCCGCATACGAACTCAAAATTCTCAAAATAAAGAATTTATAATAATAAAAAAAAAAAACACAATTTGGAGCCTTTCCAGACTTCGATCATTATATTTATTTTCCCCTAGAATGCAAATATGTTTGAATGTTAAATATAAGATGTATTTTTAACAATCAATAACTTCACCACCCATTATCTAAAGTTCTCCAGGCTTTCTTTCCAGTGCCAGGGCAAAGAGGTGAACAGTCTTGACATTCCTCCCCTAACCCGATACTGCTGGTTGTGAGTAAACTGCTAGAATTCAGAATTTTGGAGTTAATTCAGTAAATGGGAAATTGTGAGGGCTTGAAACAGATTGTCAAATTGATGACACAACTGATGAATTCCCAGCGTAATTACTATTGCTATTACGCTCACTCTTATTATAATTTTTATTTATGTTATGCATAAACAGCTAGTCTGTAAAATTGGAGGCAGCTAGGTTTTTTTTTTTTTTTCTCTCTATATCAGAGATCAAACACACTGGGATTGTAATTCTTTCAATTTTTCGTAAAACACTGAGGATTATGAGTTCATCGAATCTGTTCATTATGTCTTTTCAACTTGCTGGGAAAGGAAAACCAAGGCATAGCAAGATGTTGATTTTGGTTTAGAATAATAGCAGCCCACACACCTTGCCAGGACGCTCTTCCTGGAAGTGCGGGTACATGGCACAGTTACCACCTCCTTCACCAGTAGATATCGTCAGAACGTATACTGCCACTGCTGAAATATGTTAAGCACCACCTATGACATGCTATCATTTTATAGACCTTTAAATCCCATACGTATATTGATTTTGCCCAGTTGCATGGAAATGCATTTATGTTGTTATATTTCCACTTTAAATTTCTCCCTTCATTCGCATTTTATAGACAGAATAGAAATCCGACCTGCATCTCCAGCTAACACTAATAGTCATTTAGTGGCGGGTCGACTGTATGCACAGCCATTCCATGCCATATTGGTGGAGAAGGAAGCTCCACAGGGAGATTTTGAAAATTAGATGAATTACATAATGTAATTTTCTGAGTAGAATTTAAAGTGGCAATGTCAACTAATCTTTTCTCTTCATAAATCCGCTTAGAAGAATTTTGCAAATATATCAATATTATATCTTTGCAACAATGCGATCGTAATTGTATTTTTTATTTTTATTTTTTTTCACTTGAAGATCTGCCATTGTTTGTGCGAAGGTTGTCCTCTTGGAATTGAATCACAATGTTCAAAGATTCATGTTTAAGTTACTGATTAAAAATAAAAGGCTCCAAACTTTGCATTGTATATGAAATGATACATCTGAAGTTCTGGGCTGTCTGCATGTCTCAAAATGGCCTCTCGACTCTCGCTATTGGCAAGTGAAGCTTTAGCCCTCATGAGTAGAAATTTATCCATGGTGGATGTACCATGGAACCTCCAAGCTTGCAGTAAACGTCAGTTTGGCTACTAGCACAGGACTTAATATTTTAAGTCCGAGAGAGATTCTAAAACGATGACCATTTGATTTATAAGCGCTGACTACAGGGAGAATGTTTATTGGAACTTTACTAGTGAGGTAAGCTGAATGAACATTCTGTTGAAGAAATGCAAGTATTTTTGCCCACCCCTATTCAAAATATGTTTCAACAGTTTACAGTAACCCATTCCTTGCCAAAGTACTAATTTAAAAAATAGATATATATTTTCTTTTTAAGCAACACATTTATACACCATTTTATTTAAGGCTGCTAGTGTGTATGTATGTATGTATGTATATGTGTGAATTTTTTGGACTGGACAATAATCTAGCACTTTTTAGTCAGCTGAATTTTAAGTGGCGAATTTATATTTTTGACCTTAACTCTTCATATTTCAACTGAGTACAAAACCTTTCTGCATGCCATTTTTCTCAGCGACTACTAGGTATGTGTATACATGAGTGATATCATGTTTCCTAATCACTTCTCGTTCTGTTTATTTTTATCCTGGCTTTTAGTTTGATTGTTGTTGGAGACACACTGCAAATTATACATAATAAATAATTTAAGACAATAAAAATCTGGTGCATTCCAGCTGCTCTGACATCTCTGTCCTTTCATATTCCTTCGGTATCTGAAATCTTAATGTTCACCGATCTAGACCAAACCGGGTTGTCCTGAAGGCCACTGGTAAAACAAGTCTTGGAATTGTCATTAATATGGACTTGTATTTAGGGCCTAATAGCTACAGGTCTGAATTTGACTTGCAAGTGTTCTATCTGAGTGCATACAGGATGTACGAAAGCAGAAATGTATTTGAGAGCTATACAGGCTTATTTATAGGGTTTCCTCTTTTTGGCATCTGCAGTTGCAGCAGTCTCCTCTCCCCCTCCCTTGTTTAACCCTTCTCAGTACATATGTTGGGTTGTAATTCATTGTCTTGTGTTTGGTTGTCTTTTTTGCTACTGTTGAAGATTCTGTAAAATAACAAAAACCCTGCCTAATTCTTTACTTTACACAAATGTCTGCATATACACTGTCCACAAAAATAAAGGGAACACTTAAACAACACAATGTAATTCCAAGTCAGTCACACTTCTGTGAAATCAAACTGTCCACTTAGGAAGCAACACTGAGTGACAATCAATTTCACATGCTGTTGTGCAAATGGGATAGACAATAGGTGGAAATTATAGGCAATTGGCAAGACACCCCCAATAAAGGAGTGGTTCTGCAGGTGGTGACCACAGACCACTTCTCAGTTCCTATGCTACCTGGCTGATGTTTTGGTCACTTTTGAATGCTGGCGGTTCTTTCACTCTAGTGGTAGCATGAGACGGAGTCTACAACCCACACAAGTGGCTCAGGTAGTGCAGCTCATCCAGGATGGCACATCAATGCGAGGTGTGGCAAGAAGGTTTGCTGTGTCTGTCAGCGTAGTGTCCAGAGCATGGAGGCGCTACCAGGAGACAGGCCAGTACATCAGGAGACGTGGAGGAGGCCATAGGAGGGCAACAACCCAGCAGCAGGACCGCTACCTCTGGTCATTTGTGCAAAATGACCTCCAGCAGGCCACAAATGTGCATGTCTGCTCAAACGGTCAGAAACAGACTCCAAGAGGGTGGTATGAGGACTGGGACATCATATCTCGCTCCATCCACCAATGTCACGTTGCACCACAGACTGTCCAGGCGTTGGCAGATGCTTTAGTCCAGGTCTGGAAGAGTATCGCTCAGAAGACCATCCGCCACCTCATCAGGAGCATGCACAGGCGTTATAGGGAGGTCATACAGGCACGTGGAGGCCACACACACTACTGAACCTAATTTTGACTTGTTTTAAGGACATTACATCAAAGTTGGATCAGCCTGTAGTGTGTTTTTCCACTTTAATTTTGAGTGTGACTCCAAATCCAGACCTCCATGGGTTGAAACATTTGATTTCCATGTTTTTATTTTTGTGTGATTTTGTTGTCAGCACATTCAACCATGTAAAGAACAAAGTATTTCAGAAGAATATTTAATTCATTCAGATCTAGGATGTGTTATTTTTGTGTTCCCTTTATTTTGAGCAGTGTAGTTATCTATACAATACTTATATTGTACAGTATTGTGGCTAGTAATACTTAAACTGTATCAATAACTCCTGGCTGATAGGCCTTCCTGTTGCTTTATATACCAGAATCTGTAAGAAATGTATGCCTCTGCTTGCTTCTTCCAGCCAGTCCTATTGCACCTTGCATGTTTCACCCACTCTCCTTGAGTTAACTCTAAAGTGTTTCTTTGAAGCTTAACAGTTCAGAATTAACCTGGCCACTTGCTTATCACCTGTTACTTCAGATTCAAGCTTGATATGTGTAGCAGTAACTGGAGTTGGAAGAAAGTCGCCTTGGGGAAAGGCATGATTCAGCACACTCCTAACGTGTCAGTTTGCAGTGTCCTCTGGCAGGCTTTGATGTTCAAAAAGATTGTATCCTAGTTTATATAAGTTTAGACTGGAGGCTTGTGAAATTGCTTTGTGTCAGTCCTACGCTGTGTCTGGTTGTAAAATTGCCCTCTTAATTAATGGAATGGTATGGTAGTTGTCACAGATAAAAACCTGATTGTCCTATGTATGTTTGTCCACCAGTGAGTGCCAAGTCACACGAGTCGTACATTTGAATGTCATACTGGTAGTGCAGGCCAACGCTGTGCTCACCCGTATGGCACTTGCAAGTTTTTAATAATCTTGCCCCTTCAGATGTTAACTCTGTAGAGCCTGAGTATCCAACAATGGATTTAGGAACCTGCTGGTGATTTGAGGATTTTTTTTCTAAACTGTGAGCTAATGAGATAGATATAGATATATATTGATATTGAAAAAATCCTTGTACATGGGCTGTATGTATATATATATATATATATATATATACTTGCCAGATGCTCAGCCTGGGACTTTAATATCCAAATAGTAGTAGAAATGGCAGCACTCACGGTCTCCAATAAAATTCTTCTTTATTTAGCCAGATTTAAAACATGGGATCAACATTTCAGTCCCTGTATGTGACTTTCATCAGGATCAATCCTGATGAAAGTCCCATACAGGGACTGAAACGTGGATCCCATGTTTTAAATCTTACTAAATAAAGTAGAAATGGCAGCTCTCACGGTCTCCAATAAAATTCATCTATATCTGTCTGTCTATCTAATTCTTTTATTTTTTCTTCTTCCATCATTTTAAAACAAGGGCCAAAATAAGTTTCAAATTGAGACCAATTTGGCTTTGTCCTCATACTACAGCTTGCTGTTAAAGGAGAGTTCTCCTACTCTTCCCTGTCACTCAGTCGTCACCACAGATCTCTATGCTGAGAATTGACAGGTTAGTAACCATAGTTTTAGATGGAATTTAAAGGAAATCCATATATTTATTTATTTTTTGTCTATTTTAGTAGTGCATAGCTAAACAAGAGTACAGTGACATTTCTCAATAGTTTGACAGGCAACACAAGTTGAAGCGTATTATATTTTTTATTTTATTTTTTAAATATAAGAAATGAAGAATAAACAAGAGTTTGTAGCTTAGCAAGGTTATTCCCTCGGCAACATGGATGTAGGAAAGCTTCCTACAACTCTGACCGCTGCGAAACGTGACAGTAGGTCGGGAAGCCATAGCGTCTCAGGATTAGTCTCTTAGGGCAGGTTGTGCTGATAGCTGTTAGGTCAGGATAGCAGGGGAGTTCGCTTGAGATGTGTCTCTCCTCCATGACAGTCAGGCCCTGCCCCCTGCAAATCCATACATTTGCTACCAATTCTGCCCTTTTGAGTCATTCTGTGACAAACTTCTGTTTTGCCAGACAGATAAACTTTCGGTGAATAAGTCTCCTAAATATACGGGTAATCTCTGTTTGGACAGTTCGGTTGAAGGTTTATGTACTGCTTTTTTTTTTTTTTTTTTTGGCATGCACACTCTCTTCTTGCTGTCTGTGTAAATATACATACAGCCTGTGCTGCTTCTCAGTAACAAGACTCTGCACCTCTTGTTTAGGGAAATCTGTGTAGTTTGCATAGAAGATTAGGTGACAAATGTTTGGTTCCAGCCTGCTATAGCCAGTCTGTGCTCGGCCTCTTTGCACATCTATTCATGGAGAAGCAGCAATGTAGTCCTGTTGCAAATCCTTGTTTTATTCACCAGTTATACAGTGCTGCAATCTATGTTGGTGCAGTATTAATAGGTTGTGTGTGTAAGACTAGGTTTTTCTGTTTTGAAGTGTATGTTGTGTCTATAGGTATGCTGAGGTATGCCTTGTTTCTGGTTTTCAAGAGGCTTGACGCTGTTGCTCCAGAACATGTCGACCATCATTCTGGATAGTACCTGAGAGATGGTTAAAGTACTTTAGGATGTTCTGTGGACTTAAGTCTGTCTCCATGACGGTAATAAAGTAGGCCCTATTCCTGTGCAATTTATTACTGTCAAAGATTGAAAGTTGCCTAGTGTTTCATTACGTGACAGTGCCATAAATCAAGCGGAGCAGAGCAATGGCCTTTTCTGTTAAGAGAATCATACATTTTAACCCTACGGAACAAAAGTGAGATGAACTACATCTTTGTTCGCATGTACATATGGCATGCCAACAGTTAACAGTACAGGTTTAAATATATAAAAACATACATTTAATTTTATTTTTTAATTTCCTATAAAGAGACACTTTGAGAACCATAGCTGCATTTGCTTCAGGTCCAAATTATGATGCCTAATGCTCCCTTGGCCCTTTTTTTTTTTTTATATACTGTTTTATAAGCAACAATTTGCAGAATGCTTCATTCATAGAAAAATAAACGTGAATTGGTTGGTTTTATTTGTATAACTGTGTAAATGAAACTACTAAAGTATTTTGTTGCATGCCCTCTAAAGCCTCTATTTTTTTTTTCTCTCAGAGGAAATGGCAGATTTGCCGAATTATAATGCTCCTTTCACTCATAAATAAGCAGCAATCTATAAGGCTAGTTGGATAATGCAAGAGTGAAACCTTCCACATTATCCAAGCTGCTGCAAAACAATCCACTTCAACACAATTAGTCAGAAGACATAGTCGTGGCACCCAAAGTCTCCACTACGTTCAGATGCTTTCTGCACCTGGACCAAACCGGATAGTGATGTCATTTGCTCAATCTTTAGTATACGTTGACAGAGGAAATGACACTTCAGAAATGTTTAGCATTACCAAATAGCTAACTAAAAGTTGGCTAGTGGTTTTGCTAACATTTAGGGTTTTTTTTGTTTTTAAAAATATATTTTACAGATTTATTTTTATTGGATTGTCCACATGGGCACGTTCGGCACTGCTGGAGAAAGCACACGTGGGCTTGTATGGAATTTATTTTTATATGACCGTGAGTCTCTGACTTCATGGAACAATCCTACCAGTGTTTTATTCAGTGGTGTGCTTTCAGATTTAAACCTGCACTATTTTACTCTTTAAAAAAAATAAAAATGTTTTTTTTAAATTTATGTATCTTTCTAGGTGGTCAGTGGGTCCTTCCGTTTGTGTGTGACGCAGTCATACCGCACCATGAATGTCACAAAGGGTGGCCTTGTTCTCTTCTCCGCCAATTCCAATGCATCTTGTGTAGAGCTAGCAAAGAAAATTGGCGAGTAAGTATCAAATCTCGAATGCTTCTTAAATCTGTAAAATCCAGTGGCAGCCATCTGGTCACTTTAAAGTGGATGTGTCAATTATGAATATCTGACTACGCTCTCCTTAGATTTCAGAGTAAAGCTATTGTGGTAGTAAAATAACCAGCAACTGTATAGAGCAAGAGTTCCCAATTAATTTTTCCCGTTGAACCCTATGACATAGTGTGTCAACATTGTGGACTGTCCACCCCCCCAGTCCCCCTTGCTGCTGGGCTGAGCGACTGGCGTGTGGGCGGCGAGGGAGCAGTGATCTTCCTGCTCAGCTCCCTCGCACGCCTCTTAGTGGAACCGGAATATAATGTCACTGCTGTGCGTGCCGCAGTAATTGAGGCGGGCGGCGAGGAAGCACTTTCCCCTGCTCAGCTCCCTCGCCGCACCGCCTCAATTATAGCGGCAGCCATTTGTTTCCTGTAATTTTGGCGGAACGCCAATTGTGAAACGCTAATTTGCTTCCTATACTGAAATATAGAACTCCTGCACTTCTTTTCACAAATCCTAATGTACAGCCCACGATCATTGAGGTTACACAAACGTATTCATTGCTCTAGCAGTGTTTCAGGATGTAGCACCATGCGGTCAGCATCGTGAAACACATAAACCAAATAAGAATCTATACCAATCCCCATTCGAGACAGTCATCCTTGTGTGCGAGTTGGGCGCACTTTAAATTACAAATATGTCTTGGAATGTGTGCTTCTGTGTCTAGCCTTGAAGATACATTTTTTCCAATTTGCTTTTTCTTCATACTGAATTGGGTGTAATTAACATTTTGAAGGACTATTGCTTACCAATGAAAAAAATTCTTATGTAAGCCCCCTCTCCTGCACAACTAGTTAGACTGCAAGCTTACAGTATGCCTGGTAAGCATGATATTGTGTAACTTCATAGAGAATAAAATCTTTTTACACTTTTTGTACCAGTTTGTCAGCTCGCTATCAAATGCATAAGTGGAAGGTTATATCTTTGTTTTTGGATGGCCTAGTTTTTAAAGGAACGCTTTAAGCACCCTAGCCACTACAGCCCACTGTAATTGTGACATAGTAGGTGTGCCCTGGCACTGTGCCATAGTGAAGACTGACACTTACCTGAGTTCTGCAAAAGAATCAGAGTAGCTCTTTAAAGCTTAGGAAGGCCAGACAGGACTGAACTCATTGCCCGAGTATGTCAGCCAAGCATAGTTCTGAGTCGGCAGTGAAGGTACCCTCCACTGCCTCCCCTCCCCCAAAGAAAACAGACCTAAAGGTCACTCTTTAGTAGATATACCTAAAATGAAATAATGCAGGCATTTTGTTATGCATGTGTTCATTGGATATGTATCTAAAAACAGCTTTCAAATGCTGCACTTCTCTTGTCTGCTACCTTTTCAAGCCCTCCCCTTCTTCCCCAGCACAGACTTTCTGTGGCTGTCCAATGCAGCTCAATGAGAAATCTTTGCAAGGTAGGTGCTCTGAGCAATTGCTACCTCTTGAGTTTAGCTCCACTGAGCTAAACAAACCAGGAAGTAACAAGGACCAGCTGTCTGGTTACAAGCCAGGGGGTGTAACCAGATTAATTTATCAAAGTGAAACCCGCACTTTTTGTAAAACGACACATTCACAGGACACATTCTTCACACATAAAGCATTTCAGCAAGCGTAAAGGGACAATAAATCGCCAGCACAACTACAGCGTAATGTTGTTGTTCTGGAGAGTATAGTTGGCCCCTGCTGTTTTTTTGGTTGTTTTGTTTTCTGGGTTTTTTTTTTTTTTTTTGCATTAAAACAGTTTTTTTCATAGAAAAGCAGTGTTTACATTAAAGCCTAGGAACACCTCCAGTGGCCACTACTTAGATGGCTATTAGAGGTGCTTCCTGGGGCAGTGCTACACTGATAAGCGTCTCCATGCTCTGAAGGGAGACGCTGAACATTCCTCATAGAGATGCATTTATTCAATGAATCCCTATGAGGAGATTGTAGCGGAGCTGCAATAATAAAACCCAATATCCTATTAAGCAGAATAATCCCAATCCCACAGTAACTGGCCGACTCACTGTTCTGGGAGTCAGCTGTTTAATGTGAGCCCCACACGGACTTGTATGTAACTCCCCATGCAAGGTGTTTCCGAATACATATTCCAGGGGCATTCCCCACTGGACCTGAGCGGAGACCCAAAGAGAGAAGGAAATAAGTTTTAACCCTTTCAAAGGGGGGAGACAAACCATCAAAATTTTTAACACTATAGGGTCAGGAATAAATGTCTGTGTTCCTTTTAAGTACTTTAGGGGTCAGGAGTGACACTTTTTTAAGGAGAAGATTTTGGCCTAGAGGAGGTCTGTGACTTATTTTCATACCACTTACTGTATTCTTTATTTCTTTGACAGACGTCTAGGGATCGAGCTAGGCAAAGTTCAGGTATACCAGGAGCCAAACAGAGGTGAGTTTGGTATTAAGTATTCAAATTAATGGTCACTTTACTTACCTAGAGGTATAATCAATTTTTTTTTAACAACCTACATTGAAAATCAGGTTTGTCACAATTGACAGACTTTCAGCTCTTTGCAGTTAACAAATCAAAGTAATTGAAATAGCTCAACACAACAAATGCTTAAACGAATTTTCCAAAATCAACAGAAAATTCTACTTATAATGACTTTTCCAGCCTCAAAACTATTGAACTCCCTGAATAGAATTCCTCACAACAGCACAAATATGCAAAACATATGTTGTCTCAAGCACATCTGATGAAACTGATCAAGGGCTTCATTACTTGCACCATGTGTGCTTGAGCTACAACACTTGTAATACCTCAATTGGCTAGGGGTTTATTGAGTGTTACGCTTGACTACATGTTAGAAATATGGCTAAGTCAAAAGAATAGTCTGCAAAGATCATCGCCCTTCACAAACAAGGCACAGAATACAAAAAGATTGCAAAAGCGCTGAATGTTCCTAAAGACACCGTTGGAAGCATAGTTTGCAAGTTAAAAGTTAAAGGAACAACTGTTAAACTACCTGGATGAGGCAGGAAAATTAACTTATCAATGGCTGCGACCATATTTCTGAAAAGGCATGTTGTGAAAAACCCTTGAGTGACTGCAAAAGACCTGCAGCAAGACTTTGTGGCTACAGGCACTGAGATTTCAGTGAGCACAGTAAGGAATGTACTAAACGCCGAAAGTTTCCATGCCAGAACTCCAATATGTACACCACTACTGACCCGAGAGCACAAGGAAAGTCTGCTCCAATAAGCTCAAAGTCATATAAATAAACCACAGAAGTTTTTGGATTCTGTACTGTTTAGCAATAAACCAAAACTTGACCTTCCAGCGGTATGTCTGGAGGAAGAGGAATGACGCATACGCTGAAAAGAACATTTTGCCTACAGTTAAGCTTGGTGATGCTATGGGGCTGCTTTGAATACTCTTGCACAGAAAACCTACAGTGTGTGGAAAACAAATGGATTGAAGTATCAGGAAATCCTAGGAGAAAACCTCATGCCATCTGTGAGGAAGCTGATGCTTGGGCATCATTGGACCTTCCAACAAGACAATGATACCAAGCATGTAAAATAGCAAAAAGGTGGAAAACACCCAGAATACGTGTGAATTAATATATAAAATATAAAGCAACCTGATGGAAAGTGTAATCCATATGAATTCTGTATAAGAATCAAAAATCTGACATAGCGTAATACAGTAAAAAATTTTTAAATGTATAAATATAAGTGATTGTAGATACACTCACAAACGCACGTGAAATAAGGCTTCTCGCCCACTCAGGGGCAGTGTGTAATACGATGAATAGGCTGGAAAATCACCTCATAGGATATATGCAAATAAAGGAAATCAAAGATAGTGAAGTTTGTTATGAAAATACAAAATCACATTTATACAGAATTCATATGGATTACACTTTCCATCAGGTTGTTTTATATTTTATATATTAATTCACACGTATTCTGGGTGTTTTCCACCTTTTTGCAATTTTACATTGTCTCTTGGGTGTCTGTGAGGCACACCTAGGAATTCTTCCAGTTATACGTTTCTATTCCAATTTTGTAGTGTATATACTGTCTTTTGTTCAATGATACCAAGCACACCTCAAATTCCACCAAGGATTGGTTGTCGAAGTCCTGAAAAATTCTATGGTAGCCATCACAGTCACCTGACTTGAACCTCGTAGAAAATATCTACTTGGATTTGAAGAAAGCAGTTGCAAACACAAGCATATTACTGAACTGGAGGTCACTGCTCATGAGCAATGGGCTAAGATTCCTCAGGAACACTGCCAGAAGCTGGTGACTGCTATGCATCCCATTTTACAGCAGGTCATAACAGCAAAAAGGTGCTCTACTAAGTACTAAAGGGGTTAAATAAAATTGGTACTTTAAGGTCATTATAAGTTGCCTTTCCAGTTTAATTTGGGGGAACCACTTGAAGCATTTGTTGGGTTAAGCTATTTCATTTTTTTTAAAATTTTTTTCTCCTTTATTGCAAACAGCTGAAAGTCAGTAAACCTGATTTTCAATGGTGGTTGAATAATATTGATAACAGCTGTAATATAGTCTTCCATTTCAGTATATACATTGTTTTCCCTTTCTGGTGTCTGCAATTCAATTTTGTTAAAGAAAACTTACATGGCATCTGTAGATGGGGCACTCCTCTATGCATTCTAACTACTTTTTTGAAGTTAAGAGTGACCATGCCAGCAGAGTCCAGGCTATATAACCATGTCAATGCGATGAAGTGGCTGCAGTGTCTTTAAAATGTGGGAACCATGTTAGTTTCTGTACCCTTATAAAGAAAAGCTGTCATCTGTTTTTATTATTTAATATAAGAGCGTATATAATATAATATAATACCATTGGTCTCCTGGCAGCCATTTTTGGCACTATTTGATCAGAAGCTCATTTAGATTGGTTTTCCAGGACCTGTATAGGGCCCCTCTTCTTTTTCCCTTACCAACGACAAATATGCTTCTATTATGTTAACTAAGCTCCATTACAAACCCAGCTGTAATTGGGGGTGCATTCAGTGTGTATGTATGTAAACACTCTGGGCAGTGTGCCTACCTGTGACCCAGAAGGACTTATGGCACTTGCAGGATGCTGCCCAAGACTTTCATTTTGGTGTTTAATGTTTTTGTAAATTACTGTAATTTGTTACTTTTTACTGTTTCAATATGCTCTATGCAACAGTACAATTGCTAGACAGAAGAGAATATGCAAGTCATAGTTGTCTGTTCCTAAAATGCAACTGCTCATTCAACTTTAACAGAACTGATGGCTTCTATATTTAAAAAGATCTTGTCATGTTTGGTACAACAGGTGTGTGCTGGTGTTTGCCCAATTCCCACTATTGTCTGACCAGTGGTATGTTTTTTGTGTTCAGTTAGCTAGTTTGTTATGACCTTCATTTGTAAACAAACAATACTGCCCTGCAGCAAGACTATACTTATTTACCCTATTTAATCTTTGTGAATGTAAATGCTTTGTGGAATGTGACATTGAGAACAATGCTGTATCCTTTGACATATTATTCCTTCGTTCATTTTTTATTTATTAAAATTCTTCCGTTAGCCTTGCATTTTAGTTGCGTCAAAATATCTCACATAGTCCTTGGATCCCCCCTAACCTTTCTAGTTTAAGTCTTCTTATGCCCCGCATTGTTTGAAGAGACAGTAGACGTTCTGATTGCTTCATATCCTTGTTAATCATGTCTGGAGTCTCTTGCCATCCTTCCATCCCCTGTTGAACCGTTGTGTTAATGCTAAATGAGAGTCCCCAGCAGCTCATCCCCTCTGTGCTGCTTGGGTTCATTTCAGAAGCATGTTTTAACTCCTAAATGGTAGAAAATGGAGCAGTGAGACCTCTGAGTCATAATCTATATACAAGTACTGCTTCATTAACCCCTTAAGGACCAAACTTCTGGAATAAAAGGGAATTATGACATGTCACACGTCATGTGTCCTTAAGGGGTTAAGCTAAAGTTGCTTTGGTGACACTAGTGTCCTTTTAACCCTAAATGGAGAGACAGTGTCAGGGGACTCTGGGCACTATACCCAACTTAATGAGATTATATTTTTAGTATCAGTTTCCCTTTAGGTTCTGAACCTTGATGGTGAAGGGGTACCTTTGAGAGTGTACACAGTGAATGTAGTGATCTTGTTTTCTTGTCACGTGAAGTACTTTGTAAATTCTCTGTTGCACTTTGCTCAGCATTTTAAATCTCTGGACAGTGAAGCACATCTTTAGTTTGCTTTACTTATCTGAAGGGTTGGGTTTTGTGACCTCTATACCTCGGTGCCCTACTCTTTCAGAAATCCTGTTCTTCTCTGGCAATGACTAAACAAACATGTCAGGTCTTGGTGAACATAAAATTTGACAAGCTGCAGTTGTTACTTGTGATGAATGGCTGGCTGAGTCTTTCCTTGGCGTGTTTATTTTTCCCTTTTATTATTTTGGTAGGCTAAGGTTTTATGAAGACTCCGTGGCATTGGACCCACAATCCCGAATAATGTACATGGCATTAGCTAAGCAAAGTAAAATGAGTTCACTCACCCATTCTTCAGTAGTAAAATTCTAGAATAAATCATGCAAAATGTTTGTTGGGACTCTGCCCAGTGTCTGGGATGTGCCCAGGGGGAGCAGAGCTGCTACGCAGAACAGTTTGTTATAGCACCAGGAAAGAACCCTACATAAATAGTGTGCCTGTTCTAATCACTGATAAATCTAGATTTGAGATCTTCAGGAGTTTAGAGTTACAAGTCTGTGGGATACAATTCTTCAAAAAGATGATATAGCCTTGTGTAAATAGCTTAATTATTGTGTGACTTCTCTCTTCTCTCTTTCTGCCCTCTTCTTCAGAAACACGTGTTCAGATTCAAGAGTCTGTGCGAGGGAAGGATGTATTTATCATCCAGACTATTTCCAAGTGAGTAATTGTCCGATGTCGCATCCAGTTTGTGTCTTCCAGTTTTGGTATGAGAAATGTCTTTGTGCAGCTGACAACTAGGAATCACAAACCACAAATGTATCCCTGGTACGGTCTGATCCACCTCTGATGGGTTGTTTTTAGGTCTCTTTCTGGAATAGAAATCAAGGTTTAAAGGAACAGTATACCACACCACAGTCCCTTACTGACAGTTCGTATGCCCATGTGTCCACAAGCCTTTTTGTAACAACCAATTAAAATCCATTATTATTCTTCCCAGCTTTCCATTGTATATGAACTTTGAAAATATGTTTTGCTTTCCCTTGGGCACAAATCAAAGCGTGCAATGAAAGGCTAAAAATATTATTTTCAAAATAAATAAAGTACTGAACATATTTAAAACTTTAAATACATATTTACAAGTTGTAGTTCTTAAATTTACTATATAATGGTATAAAGAACATCTTCTGGTAAGGGTGCCTTTATAACGTTAAAAAAATCTGATATGCAAGTGACCTTTCACTGTGGGATTTAGCCAGAGTCAGCACCTTCTAGAATGCGGGAGCCGTATCACTGCAGATTTTGAGCAAGGAAAGCAGTGGGGAAAAAAATAGTCTTTACATTCCTGCAGTTAAAATTACCTGTTCATTAGGTAGCAAGGAGGAACTTTGTGTGTGTATATGGGGTCTCTACAGCGTGAGACCATCCGATTATGTGGCCAGACAAGCATGTGATACATAGCCTTGGTATTTTCTTTGCTGTGATGACGGTTTCAAAGAAATGTGTTGTATATCACTCTAAGCACAGCTGACATTTGAACTGCATGCTCTATAAACGGGGAAATTGCAAGTTCTTGGTAACTGCAGATGGATAAGATAATGGGGTTAATTTCCTATGTGGCATGTTTAGGAATGGCAAATTGCAATTCAGGGGTTCAGAAACCAAAATGGTGTACCACAATTTGGAAAAAGACACTTTTTAATATACAGTTGACAGACCCTCCCATGCTGTATAACAAGAAAGCAACCAAGTCTTGCCCAGTGTCTGCCTACCCCTCATAGGGACAGAATAGGCAGGGATTCGCATCTTTTATTTCTGGGCAGAAGGTGGAAGAACACAAGCTGTGCTTTAGCGCTTTCCTTCTGTTCTATGATTGCCTTACAGCAGTTATTTGCAGCTTTGGGTTTCTGTGGAGTCTTCATAACCAGTCACTGCTTCCCACTTTCTTACCTAGCCGTGCCTGTGCTGGAAATGGCCCTTGCCCGTTGCGAAGATGTTCTCGGTTTGAGAGATGGAACATGTGCACTGAATGCAATGACTTAAAATCTCAGAGTGCTACTGGGCATGTACAAAACTATTGCAGTGTTTGGCGCAAAAATGTGGTTTATTTAAAGGACCACTATAGTGCCAGGAAAACATACTCGTTTTCCTGGCACTATAGTGCCCTGAGGGTGCCCCCACCCTTATGGGCCCCCTCCTGCCGGGCTCTGGAGAGAGGAAGGGGTTAAAATCTTACCTTTCTCCAGTGCCGGGCGGGCAGCTCTCCTCCTCTTTGGCTGAATGCGCATGCGCGGAAGGAGCTGCGCGCACATTCAGCCAGTCTCATAGGAAAGCATTCAGAATGCTTTCCTATGGACGCTGGTGTCTTCTCACTGTGAGTTTCACAGTGAGAAGCACGCAAACGCCTCTAGCGGCTGTCAATGAGACAGCCACTAGAGGCTTAAGAGGCTGGATTAACTCATTTATAAACACTGCTATGTTTATAAAAAAAAAAAAAGGGTTAATCCTAGAGGGACCTGGCACCCAGACCACTTCATTAAGCTGAAGTGGTCTGGGTGCCTAGAGTGGTCCTTTAATATTGTTGGTAGATGTACTTCAAGGCCGCAGTTGCCACTGCACTGTAGTTTCAGCCAAACCATGCTTTATGAAGAATAACACACAGGTAAAAACCGTATGGGATATGAAAACGTGATCTGTCTGAAATAATGGGCACATCATATATAGCTGTAGCTCCCTGTCCAAACCTTTTCGTGGGTTGCAGGGCTTTCCTTTTATATATTTATTTTGAACCTTTTTTAGCTTCCAGCCAGATATACAAAACTTGGTAAGCTAATGTTGCCCCTTTTATAAACTAATGCAAAAATATTTATACATATTCTCCTTTTTGTCACTTTAAGAAACAATATATCCCTATTAAAAAAAAAAAAGTGTATTGTAGTTTTATTTTATGTTGTACGTGTAGCCTCGTAAGTTCACTGATAGTTAACAGGTGTTTTTTTCCATTTTCCAGTGATCCTTAGCTCTCATTGATTGGCAAAGCATCATGGTAGATGTAGTTCCAACTTGGCTGTAGATCTACCCTTTTACTAATCCTCATTCCTGTAGATTTTGTTGTGTAAGTAGCATGTTATTCTGTTGTAAAGTGAAATGGTGTTAACAGTTGGCTTTCTCTTATGTTTTCAGGGATGTGAATACCACAATCATGGAACTGCTTATTATGGTGTATGCATGCCGGACCTCTTGCGCTAAGACAATTAGTGGCGTCATCCCTTACTTCCCCTACAGCAAGCAGTGCAAGATGAGGAAAAGAGGCTCCATTGTGTCGAAGTTACTAGCTTCCATGATGTGCAAAGCTGGTAAGCATCGCCCCTGGGGACTTGTGTACAAGTGTATTCTCACTGTCCAGACCTAAATATTATTTATACTTTTTTTTTTGTTGTTGTTGTTTATTTCCCCCCCAGTATCTGATATTCAGCCGGAATAATCGTCTTGTGCAGAAACTGTCATGTCAGACATTAATTTTTTAACTCGTGGTTTAAAAGTGTCTATTATTTATTCACTTTTTTCGATATTTAAATATAAAGTGGCACTCTAAACACGATACTCCCACACACATACTTTGTGAGTTTTCTTTTCTGATGTTGGTATGTTTTCCATTCAGCTATCCTGGCAACTGTTCGAGGTTTTTCTTTTTCTATGTGCAGTTATATTGGGGTTGGTATTCTATTTGTACAATTGGTAAAACCTATTACTTCAAAACCGTACATGCTTGCTCGCTTAGTGATCAGTTTGCATTGTATTTGGCTGCCTTTTAAGCAGATTTTTCCAACACCATTTCTTATAAACATATGTTTGTTTAGTTAGTGCAATCTTGTTTTCGTCTCCATGTAATATAAAGCCAGATTTAACTAAACAGTCTTCAGGCAAAGTTCCAGGAAGAATCTCCTAGTATAGTGTGTGCGCGTTCCTGTTCCACATGTTATTGTTTTGAGGGTTTTTTTTCCCTGTACATCTGATCTTTCTCTCCCCTGTGTCATTCTCCCAAAGGCTTGACACATCTCATAACCATGGACCTGCATCAAAAGGAAATTCAAGGCTTCTTCAATATTCCTGTTGATAATTTAAGAGCATCACCATTCCTTTTACAATACATTCAAGAAGAGGTGAGTTCTGAGCAAGACTGTGAACCATTTAAAAAAAAAAATAAAATAAAAATCTCATGGCGCTACTGGGCATGTACAATAGTTCTTTTTAATTAGAGTTAGCACCTATTGCTTTGACATCTTTTCCACATATATATATGTTCTCAGTTTTTTGTTTTTTTTGTTTTAGAGCCTTTCCAGAACTAGGGATCAACAGCCTTTCTTTTTTTTTTTTTTTAAATTACAATTTTACACAACAAACTTTAAACTTTGTTCTGAAATGTATTGGGCAGGAGTGCCCTGGTACCCAATTAGTGTAAGTAGTTGTACCATTTCCACTTCATTTGTCTTCTTACCTGGGTACTACTGGGCGCTGCTCTCTGCATCTTCCATTCCGCTATACATCGCCCCTCTAAGCTCATTCAGGGAGCTTCCAGATCCTATAGATGCAGCAATTGATGCTCAGAAGAACCCAGGTATGAAGTCTAACATTTTGACTACTTACATTTGGATGATAGCCAGGGCACTTCGGGCACCATAACCACTACACTGAGCTTTTGTGGTTTTTGTTTTCCTTTTTATATATATATATATATCTCTTCCATTAAAAACATTTTTATGACTCCTACCCCTTCTGGCATTAGCATCTCAGCAAGTCTGTCTAAGAAGCTTTCATGCTATTCAAATGTTTAGGATTTTTCAGTAAAATTTGAATTGTAAAATTTAGGTTAAACTAGGCAAACTGAGTTGTTTTTTTTTTTTTGTTTTGTTTTTTTTCTTCCAGTTTCAGTTTGCTGCAGTTGTTAGTTTAATAAACGGCTTTGAACAAAAGCTTAAAACAAAAGCAGCTAGAAGTCGTGAGAAAACATACAAAACCTTAATAGGTCAGTCTCCATTCAGGTCTCAAACAAATGTTTGCTCACGTGTCATTATAGAGAGACCCTATAATATTTGCATATCGGAATAATCCTATTAATAAGGACGGTTAAGTTCCTACCGAACGGCAAGTTCCCTTTGCATAAGAAATCAATTGACCCCTGTCCATTGTTTCTGCCTTTGTTGGGCCTCATTATGGAGGGGCAGCCGGCTTTCAGACTGACAGTGACTATTCACTTATCTTCCACACCACCTGTTGGCATAACAGGCTCCCTGTAACCATTTTAGCAAAATTCTTGCTTCATTCATCCGTAAAAATTGAAATATGAACGCCATGCCACTAGCACTAGCTATGCGTATGGAATAACCAATCAGGGATATCCCAATCTCCCTACATATATCTAGCTTATATATAGAGCTTTTCTTTCTAAATAACTTGCATGAGCGTTTGTACAGCAGCCACTCAACCTGCACAATTATGCTCATTCATAAAAAATAAAGTGTGCAATGCGTGTGACGACTACACTGTGTATACTATGGCATTTTTAATTGCCTTCATGACTCTGAAAACAGAATCTGGAGCTGACCCAACCCGAGAGCACATGGTTATCCCACAGCTGGAGCCTCAGGCAATCAGTGGCATCCATGTTGGAAATGATTGACATACATAAGGTTAAAGAGTCAAGATAATCAGTGCAGCTGAGGAGGGTGGTGTCCTGTTGATGGGAAGAGCCAGAGTTTAAACAAGCCATTCCTAAACAATGTCACATTAAAAGGGGGATTAATGCCAAGACACACTATGCAGCATAATTACAATAGCATGCTGCAGTTATGTTGCTTAGATTGCTACTTTACTATACATGAAAGTTGTCCCTGTGCTTAGTGAAACATTTTGTGTAAGAATAAAATTAATCTTCTGTGTCTTTCTTTTGCCAGCATGTAATTTCTGAAGTAGGAGTTTGCCCGTGGTATATTGGATGGTCGGCACACTTTGTGACATTGTGTCACTGTGTTGTTTCCGTAAAGGATTAAGCTAGGGAGAGATCTCTTCTCCGTAATTACAGAACAGATATAGGAAGGCATGCATTTTAAATGTTCACCCTGGCAAGCTGCAGACGTATCACGTTGCTGGCAGAACAATGAACGTACGTTAATGCTTTGTGGGATTGTTTGACTTTAAAACAGGTCTGTGTTTTAAAAAGGAAAGTCCGTTACTTTAAAGGAATACTTTAGTGTTATGGATACAAAGATGTATTCCTAACACTAAAGTGGCCCCTCGCCATTCAGTCACTTACCTGATTCCAGCACTGACGTCGCTTCAACGCTGGGTCGCACTCCTCCTTCGCAGATATTAACCGATGGGTTGGGGACCTGATGCACAAACACAGCGACTGTCTTGTGCGCTTTGGGCATTCCGCATAGGAAAGCATTGAATCAATGCTCTCCTGTAGGGTTTTGCTTGATGCTGGATGTCCTCATCCAGCAAAGCATGAGGACATCCAGTGTAGTTTCACAGTCAAACAGCCACTAGAGGCAGTCTTGGCACTGAAATGTAAACATTGCAGTTTCTTTAAAAATGTAGACCTGGTCACTGCACCTATACTACTTCATCTCATTAAAGTGATCTGGGTGCCTATAGTGCCTCTTTATTAAGCAGAATAGTGTTTAGTTTTTATCACTTATTGGTACGTCTATTAACTGGACTTTTGTGTGCAGCATTGCATACCCAATGCATGAGAATATTAGTTATTGTTATTATTATTGGCATTTATGTAGCGTCAACTTATTCTGCAGCACTTTACATAATAAGCTGGAACATGTTTGAGTTTTATTGGTACTAGTTAGGATTTTAAAATCGCGCCAACGTATTCTGAGGCATTTTGTAATTTGACAGCTATAGACCGTGCAATGCAGACAATCCAGGACAAAATAAGCATAACTTGGTGAAGCATTTCATCGCCCTTTTGTACAAAGTGTTTTGCAAGGTAGCTTGTCGACTCGCAATCTAAGAGTTCTAGTAAGAGTTCAGAAAAGAGATTGCGGAGGTAATTTGTGGTTGATGGCTATAGGGAAATTCACAAATAGTTATGAAGTAGTTTAGCAGGTAGGGTGGAATTCAGCCACCCATTGAGTCCTTTTACAGTAAACTGTTACCAGGGTGCTATGAGGATTTAAAAACTCTGGAATCCCTTGTAGGAGAGCGGAACTTGTCATGCAAATGGTGAAGACTTCCTCTCTTTTTTTATTAGAGTACTCTGTGCATGAATCTTCTTATTTATTTATTCTCCTTAGTAGAAATGTTATTTTATGAGGTATAGCTTTGTATCTTTGTATCCTGTAAATTAATGGGGTTTTTTTTGGTGATCTCCTAACTCGCAAGTAGACGACGGGTTAATGGATAACAGTTTATTTTCTGTACAGCTCTAGAGTAACATGCATTGCTGCCCGCTGTGAAAGTGAAAAAGTAAACAGCTGTTGGCGGTACCCTATTGTTTGTCATCCTGTTAGTAGGCCACCTGTGCAAAGATTCCATCTGTCCACTCAGGACCTTGCTGGAGTTTTTGTATTTACTGCAAGTTGAACATTAATTTAAATAATTTTTTTACACAGATAACCATACAAAATACATCACCTTAATGGTTTGCCATTTCATAAGCCCGTGTGGAACTGACACGACTGTAAATAAAATATATTTTTTTTTTTCTGACAGATACCTGATTACAGAAATGCAGTGATAGTGGCCAAATCCCCTTCATCAGCAAAGAGGTGAGCAAAATATTTTATGTGCCAGGAAGCCAACTAGGGACTTCCCCTTCTCCCTAAAAACTGGATTGGTAACATATTTGCACTATCTAGGCCAAAGTATTCAGGGGGCGGGGGGGGGGAGGGGTGGTTGGTTGTTTTTCCATATTTTTATTTATATTTTTTCCCATATATTAAATTTTTCATGTTGGTGGCCTTTTCATTTATGACTTACAGTACTAGTGATCAATTTAAACTACTATATCTTGTAGCTACTGCTTCAGAACTATTAATGTATTTCTTGTAATCAATGTTCAATTTCTTGGGGGGTGGGGGAGAGAATTTGCGTGAAAGGCAATGATTGCCAACCACGTGAGCCATCTTGGCAAATTATGTAAAGTACCCAGATGGTGACAGAGCCACTTTAATGTTTGATCAGTGTATGATGTACATGGCTCAGAGAAATATACATATAAATCTACATATATAGGCTTGTATGTGCATTTGTAGCAAAGTGTGAATTCCAGAAAGTGTTCTGTTTGTTTGTGTTTTTTTGCCTTGCCCCTTGAAGATTATAGAGCAGGTGTCTTCAGTAACTGGCTGTGTTGTCAACAGATTCATGCCTGAGGTGATGCACATCTCTGTATGTCATGGCCTCACGGGTTTTGTAGATTATGCGTTCTAAAGGGATTGTAATTGGCATGTATGAGCAGTGCACCCACTTCTGATTTTCATTTCATGTGATACAATCTGAACCAAAATGATGGTGCAACTGTGCCCTTCTGGTATTTTCTGTTAGTCTAAAACTGCCATAATAATTTCTTTAACTATGACAGTAGGTCGGAGAAGCTGGCCTAATAGGATGTATTTAGAATCATAAATGTTTGACCCACAAAACCTTAACGTTGGTCAATATATGTGCCTATAATGCAAAAAAATGCCTCTCTGGTATTGTAATCTTTTATTTTTTTTGTGTGTGTGTTTGAAATCAAACTGCTGCAAGTTGATCTATGCTTTCTATCAAGTTCCTTGGTTTATGCCTAATATGCACTTTCCAAATTCACTAATCTCCCTTTTTGCTTACCTCTCTCCTTGTGGCAGAGCCCAGTCTTTTGCTGAAAGGTTACGACTGGGAATCGCTGTGATTCACGGTGAAGCGCAGGACGCAGAATCCGATTTAGTTGATGGGCGGCATTCACCGCCTGCTGCTAAAGGAGTAACTGCTCCTGGAATACACCCAACATTGGAGATTCCATGTAAGTATCTTGCACCTCTGTAAATCTTTCTGCCTAAATGAGAAGTGCCAGGCGCTCATTACCCCTCCCCATAGGGAAAGCGTTGATTCATTGCTTTTCTATGGGGAAATAGCTGACGCTGGATGTCCTCCTGCAAAGCGTGAGTACGTCCAGCGTTTGTTATTGGACCAAAAGACCTGTAACATCCAGGAAGTGCTTCTAGTGGATGTCTGATAGACAGCCACTGGAGGAAAACTTAGTGCTGCAATGTAAACACCAAGTGCAATAGGGACACTGTTCCCAGACCACTTGAGCTGAAGTGTTCTGGGTGCCTATAATGTATGATAATGAGTCATGTTGATAATGGGATTTTATTTGGTTCTGGATCTGACACATCAGAAGTCTTTTTAGAGCGGACTAAACATGACAAAACTGATGGTTCCATATCTTTCGTTTCTTTTATTTTCCCTCTCTTCAGTAGCACTTCACCTCTCAACAGAATCTCCAGCCATCAAAACAAGGGTGAGGGGGAGGAAAGTGCAGAATATGTGTTAGTCTTTATTGCCATCTTATTGGTAAATTATTTGAACGATGTGCATGAGTCTATCTACGTTATATTGATAGTCTCCAGCCGTTGGACGTTCCCATTCCTTTTTAGAGATGCGTGCGTAGGGTGACTTGTCTTGTCACCACTTTCCATTTCAGAGCTGATCTATTTGAACTAATTGCCCTGAAAATCCACTGCTCGCGTGCCCTCCCAGTCTGGAGTAGCTCTGCTCATTGAGAGTACATGCATTCTTCACATGCCAAATTATATTTGGTCCATGAGAAATGTCTGCAGTTGGTAACCTAACTCTTCCTGTGCTGCTTACCAGCAGGTTAAGCTCCATTTACACTCCGCTCCAGGAGCAAAAGGATTAGGACGTAAGCCTAATAACAGAGATTTGATTCAAAACTATGTGGATTAATGTTGTGCCATCTGTTAGGGTCTTAGATCTAAATTTGTTTACTTTATGTGGAAGGATAAGGTCTATGTTACAGAGCTGGAATAAAACGTGTGTGTGTGTATGTGTGTATGTATGTGTGTGTATGAATATATATGAATATATATATATATATATATATATATATATATATATATATATATATATATATATATATATATATATATATATATATATATATATATATATATATTTATTCTTCATTCTGTGTTTGAAGGGCCAGCAAATCTCTCTATCCTTTAAATGTATGTGGCTATATTTCCGAAGGGCAATGCTTACAAAGAAAATCTCACAACACACACCTTGCACTATAGCACTGCCTTTTAATGTTGCACTGTAGCATACAACTGAAATCTCATTTAATCCCCTTAGGCCTAATAGAATAATTATGTCCGAACAATCTAGTCCATGAAAACGGAATATACTTTTTAGCATCAGCGAGCAAGGCTTTCCATGCCCACACAGGATGTCCAGAAACCAAATGAGGGTGTAAATATTATTGGTACTCTGGGTGTTGGGTCTGCTTCAACTTTGCATTCACATGCACGCTCCACAGCATTCATTCCACAACTAAGAGAAAAATGGTCTGATCAGCTGCAGAATTGTCAACTGAGATTGTGCATAGTGGAATGGGATATGTCAAAGTAACATAGTTCTCTTCTACTCTTTTCATCTATCTTTGATAAAGGCATAATAGATGAGCTATGGACAGATTTACAGGGTCCAACAATAAACAGTTTTTTTCAAAGTTAAAATGCTCCACTTCCCTCTCACATTAATTTATTAAATGTAGTGTGTTCGTTTGTGCTCTAACAGACAGCAGAAGCTTACTAGGGAGGTGTAACATTGAAGTGTGCTATCTTTTTTTTTTTTTTTTTTTTTTCTGAGAAAGAAGTGTCCTTGAGTATAATAGTATTTCAGGTTCTGTGAATGTCACAATTTATAGACTAAATACGTATCCTGCCAGCAAGGAGTATACCATCACTTTTGTGGTTTGCCAGGCTGAAGAAAAATACATGTTAGATTTATCTTCATTTTAGCAAAATATTTTATTTATTTTTCTGCATTCTTCAGGGAGATCTTGAGTATGCAAAATATAAACAATTATACATTATCCCTTTTCTTGGTAAATACAGCAACTTGTTAAAGGGGAGGAAAATGGGCAGATCCATTGCAAAACTTTTTTTGTAAGGAATCTGTTTGTATTTTTGGAAATGCAAAGTACCAGCAGGCAGTAAATCTAATTACTGTACGTTGGGTTATTGCCAGACATCTGTGTTTTTAAAGGAAAATTTGTCTGCTAATTCAGCACACAGATATATCTTGATATGCGTGTCTTTACGAACTCTTCGTTCCCCTTGGCTACAATTGGGTTTTTGTTTTTGTTTTTTAAATATAATATATATAACCACGCTGTACACTTTGAGCTATGCAGGCTCCAAACCCCAGATCCTGTATTTTATTATATTTCTGAACTTTTTAATTTCTGGCAGTAATGTAAAAGAAATATATATAGAATCTCTCACACACTCGTAAATTTGTGACTATGATTCTAAGATCCACATACAGTGATATCAAAATTACAACTTAAAGTGATTATAGTGAAAAGAACAAATAAAGAATAACTTCCCTTAGCAATATAGGATATGCCCAAAGATTTCCTCCTATCTTCAATTCAGTAAGTATATGGTATAGGGCTATTCCAAATTTGTCTTTTCTCCCTTTTTGGATGTGAGAGTAAAAAATAGCCCTATACCATTTACTTACTGAATTGAAGATAGGAGTAATGTAAAAGGTCTTTTATTTGAGGTGTTTGAAAGTGTACATTTTACAGTGATTATGAGCAAATATTTTATATTTTTATTCTGTTTTCTAGTGATGTTTCCAAAGGAGAAACCCCCTATTACTGTGGTTGGAGATGTTGGAGGAAGAATAGCAATCATTGTGGTATGTTTTTTATATCTCTAAGCTCCTTATATACCTTACCCAAGGTTGTTTAATTTTTGTTGTTATTAAATATACCTGAAAGTGTTCTTGACTTTCACAGAACGCTATGCTGGCACTAAAGGTAATATTGTTATTTATATCTAGTAATGTCCTCAATGAGCTGGCCAAGTTACTGGCAAGTACATTGTTTTAAAATGTTATAAATTGAATAAAAGATCGCTGCAATGCAGATATAGCTGTCATTGAAATTCAGTACTCTCCATCCTTGAATTCTCTGTGTTTATAGTTGCCAAAGAAGGAACAGCATGCCCTGCATATAACACACATGCTCTGGGTTTTGGCAGGATGACATCATCGATGATGTAGCCAGTTTCCTCGCTGCTGCTGACACGCTTAAGGAGAGAGGGGCCTACAAGATTTTTGTAATGGCAACGCATGGTATACTGTCCTCAGATGCTCCACGGCTAATTGAAGAGTCTGCTATAGATGAGGTAAGAGAATTCAGTGCGTGGAGGAGCAAGTAATTTAAAATCAAATCTTAGAATTTCAAATCTAACTCTGCTAGCCAGGCCTTAAAAGTAATTTGCCACTGTAAATGGGGAGTCCATCACACACTTACCAGGGTGAATGTTTACTTACCAGGGCTGTATTAGAACGCTCCAATTAATGATGGATATTTTGAGTATGTATGTCTCCCAAAGAGAATAGCACTCTTGGATCTTTTTCATTGTGATTTAATTATATCAAATCAATGTTTTGAACCTAATGGAGTCTTTAACATGGTTCACATGCATTTGCTTCAGCATTTAGGTGTAAAGATGAACACCTACAACTCATTGAACTGTTTTGTCGTTATACAACTTTAATGTTTTTAATTTATTCATTTTTTGGTCTTCTCTCAAATATTTTATCCACTAGGTTGTCGTCACCAACACAATTCCCCACGAAATCCAGAAGCTACAGTGCCCCAAAATCAAGACAGTTGACATCAGCATGATCCTATCAGAGGCAATTCGCAGGATTCACAATGGGGAGTCCATGTCATATCTTTTTAGAAATATAGGTGTGGACGATTAGTCCTGTTTGTTACGTGTTTTTTTAGGAATATACTAAGGGCCAAAACTGGAATTGTACAGTGTACCTGTGCCGTACAAATGCTTACCTTAATATTTCAACAAGGCCAATTTTTAGGCTGATCTGTCTTACGGTTAGATTCACCAATTAATTTGTTTTGTTGTTTTTTTTTTGTTTTGTTTTTTCCTTAAACTTTGTTTTTGTTTCATGCACTAGTTCTATAGTATGCACAATTTGGCACTGCAGCTGTAGTTGAATTCTGTTTCTCAGCATCCTCCACTCACAAATTGGCCATAGTTTTACAATCCAAATATTAGATGGGCGGTCTGAGTACAGACCTATGTATGAGCCCTACAGTATTAAAAACATGTAACCTCTTCTGACACCCAGGCCAGTTGGTCATCTTTGTCTGCAGGGGTTTCATTCGCAGCAGATATATATATTTTTTTTCTTCAGTTAAAATTACTGGTTTCTCCCACCATCCATTACAATGGAAAAATTTGTCTTGTTTAAAGAACTTGAAAAACATATTATGCAAGGAACTGATTGAGCATTTTAGCTGTAATCCAGCCACAGCTGTTGAGCCAAACTTGTCAGTGGCCTACAGATGACACTACAGTGCCCTGTTTTATTTTTTGTTTTTGTGGTCTATTACAATGTCAAGTTGATTTATATTTTATGTATTTTTTTGATTTATATGCAGCACCTCTGATCTATTATTTTTTTATTTAACTTTTTTTGATGGGCCTAAAAGCTTTGGCTCTGCAACCAAAGCCATTTACCGGTCGCACCTGTGGTAAGTACCACTAAGTCGTGCGTTGTGCACTTTTACCAAATTAAAGAGCCACAGACCACATTTTAACTTGCAACAGGAGATTTTGTGAAATTGCTCAAGAGTATGAGTAGAGGAGGAGTTAGACTTTAAGTCTTAAGTTTGTTTTAAGCTGGTTTAGGGGTTCATTACTTGCCCACCACTGCCAACAAGAAGTCATACACCCAAAGAGGTAGAAGTTTTTGGTGTAAGCTGCTAGTTACGCAGCTATGGAGTGGTGGTAGAAGATCAGTTCAGAATACTGCAGTGTGTGCGAATCTTACAGCAGCTCACCAAATCTCAGGCTTAGATTATGTATTGTAATGTTTAATGTGCTTTGATTTTTTTTTTTTTTATATTGCCCTTAAAGGGACTTTGTTAGATAGTCAGAATTTACACTGTGGGTGTAGAGCATAGAAAAAAATTAAATAATAAATCTATATAATTACTTGTAATTTTTTGCTACCAAAATATAGATCAATTATGTCTGACATGTATTCTACATTTGTTGTGAGAATGTTGCCCTTTTATCAGGCTGATCATCGGGGATACAGTCGGTGACCACTGGAGTGGTCACGATTGACCATCACTGGTGTAGATCAAGTTAACGCTAGTTCCTTTTTTATTTTTTTTATTTTAGCCCTGTATTTTTTAGGTATAATTTTAAATACAACCCAGTTTGCAAATTATCCATATTGCTTTGTAATATCTAGATTACATATTCTTCCTATTTTGTTTGAAACCTACCAATTTCTAGAGTTTTTTTTTTTTTTCTTCATGCTCTCCATTGGCTTTGTAAAACCTGACTGTCAGTACCAGGGGAAGACATCTCAATGTTAACTTCCTTTCCCCCTAAAGGGTTATGAAATGCATCAAGAGCCTATGAAGCATTGCTGAGCAGTGTAGTATGTCTGGATTTGTATATTGTAGGCTCCTTTTGCGGCATAAAGGCTGAGGGGAAAAAAAGCTGAGGTTGACTCGTCCCAGCACTCTGAAGCATTTGCTGAGGGACGGGTAACTGTACAGGAAGGGCAGCTCTGTGCCGCATTTTATGTATGTGGGAGTCTCTGTAGTGACGCTTTAATGTCGGGAAGCGTACAGAAAATATGCACTAGTATTTATTTTCTGCAAAAGATAAGCGGGAAAATGTAATAAAATATTTGTTTTGTGTGAGCTCTTGCGTTTTTGTTTTGTTGTTCATTTATTTTATTCTTGTTTTCAATGCTTGTCATCTAATTACAACAATCCCTTGTAAATTCGACATGTAATTTGCTGCTTTAAAGTAATTCTACCTGCAGGAACACAGACTGAATCCTTTAATTCTTTGTGTAGTCCAAAAGCCATTGGATTGCCGTCCGTCAAGGTCACAAAAGGGAATCTTTTTCTTCTCATCGTACATCTAGCTACATAAACACTTGTTTTTTTTGTAAACCACCTTCTGCCAGTGTTTTTGTTTTATTTTGTACATACTTAAGGTCATTGATAACTCATGTCCTGTAGCATAATAGTGCCATTCTTTTTCTGAAAGTTTGTGATCTTGGATAATTACTACCGGACTGTCATTTATGCTTAAACTCTTTGTAGCATGATAATTATTGGCTGTGCAAATGGTTTTTAGGCTTAATGGAGTCTAAGTAATATATTGAGTTCAAAGGTTCATAGGCTAATCTAGATATGGCCAACCTTTGCAACTCTGTCATCTGTGGATTAAGACTTGCATAGTGCTTAGCAATACTATCACATACTTTATTTGATAGCCGCTGGAGTGCCAGGGGTAGCCTACCCTGCATGTTGTTCTTTAACCATAAACTCTTAAAGCATGGATGTCAAACTCAAAGGCTAGCACGGGCCAAATAAAGTTTATGCGGGCCGCAAAAAAAACTAAAATTTTCATAGAAACGTAGGTTTATTTCGAAAAGTACAGTATAAAAAAAAAACGCACCTCCCTCTACTAAATCCCAGCGTTGCCCCCCTCTGCCCCTCTACAAATTCCAGTGTACACCCCTCTGCTAAATCCCACTCGCTAGTAGCACTCTTAGTCACGACCTTTAATAGCAAATTATATTCGAGTCTGCAACATGTAGCTGTTTCATAAGTGAATGCTCTTGAGGTTAGGCCAGTTTTTAAAATTATTTATAGTGGTTTCTGATTATGTATGTGATATTGAGGAATTTTCTCTGTCAGGAATTTCCCCTTGCCATGGTCTTTTATATCCGTTTGCAACTCTCTGTATTTTTCCTTGTCCCCAAACCATCTGGTGAGGAGCCCCAATGAACGAAACAAGACAATGTAAGGTTCAAGGTGATTAACAACATTTAATGGACTGTGTAACAGGTTATTGTGATGTTTTGTACAAATCAGCCAATAATTCCTGTATAATGAAGTACTCTCTTTATTAATAAATATATAGCAGGATCTTCATATTTCAACCTTGTTACACAGGGTTTCAAATCCCTCGAACATTCCACCAACTGCCAACAGGAACAGGAAGTAAAGAACCAAAAGAAAGGAAGTGCATCATTCACAGCCAACAACAGCCCAACTGCCCATACATCACAATACATACATTCATACTCACACACACATACCAGCCCAACAGTCCATACATCACATCTCCTTCCTTTCTCAACGAAAGAAAACAAAACAAAATAGTAAAAAGTCAACAATAATAATAAAAGAACAATTTAAAAATGTGTCCTTAATCTGCATCATTCTGTCCATCATCTACAATCTCTTTTTCAGGACAGCTTATTCTACTCCTACTAGGATACCATTTCCGCCTTCTCACTGTGGAGTTTCTGTTGAGTCCCTTAATGGATCTTCTCTCTCTTGTTGAATAGAGGTATTTTCATGGTTACTTGAACTGTGGCTTGGCAGTTCTTGTTCCTGAGTTTCATGGGGTATTTCCTCCAAATCATCCCCTATTATATCATGAGCCTCTGGACCAGGTGTATTGCAGACTTCAGAAATGTCATCATGCCAAACCCCATGCCCAATATCAGTGTCTGGTTGCATGAGTGGCCCTACCCACTTTGATAAGTTGTCTGTTATACGTGGTCGAATTCGATTTGTATGTCTCCGTGTGTAACATCCATCAGAGGTTAAAACTTGATAGTGCGCCGGCCCCAGAACTTCCTTTATCACTGCTTCTTTCCAACGATTCTCCTGATGATATACACGCATCCAAACAGAATCCCCTGTCTGGTAACAATGGCCTGCTTTTCCGACTTGCATCTTCGATTGTTGCTGGATGACCCTTTGTTGAATCTCTGGTTTTAGCAGATCCAACTTTGTCCTGAGTTCACGGCCTAACATAAGGCATGCTGGAGGTTGTCCAGTGGTTGGATGAGGTGTATTTCGATACTGTAGAAGGAACTCAGACAAATGATGTTCAGGTCTCTTTCCTTCTGGTTTCAGACTTCTCAGAAAACCCTTTAACGTTTGAACAAAACGTTCTGCTCGATCATTAGTAGCAGGATAATACGGTGCTGTACGATGATGCCGAATACCATTTTCTTTGAGAAAAGCCTGAAATTGCATCTCGAATTGATAACTCGTGAGCTCTTGTTTGGAATGACTTGAGATGTATTGGAGTCTTTACTGGCCAACCCTTGCGTACAAAAACAGGCTTTTCCAAGTCGTAGTGTACTAAAAGACGTGAACTACGCACTAGTTCTTTTGACTTATGGAAAGCTGAAGCACATTCTACTGTCCAGCGCCATTGTCCTTTACTCTCTAGAAGACGATGTAAAGGGTACAGGACATGAGCTAAATTTGGCAAAAAAACGGTTGTAATAATTTAACAGACCAAAATAGGACCTTAGTTGTGTCACATTTTGTGGAGTTGGAGCATCCTGTAATGCCTTGACCTTCTCATCTGTTGTATGCAGCCCATGTTTGTCAATTACATGAGCACAAAATTCAAGACGATCCTGCATGAATTGGCATTTATCCAAATTCACTTTCAATCAATATTCCAAAAGTCTTTACAAAACTGCCTCTACATTCTTTGTTCCTCCTCTGATTTACCTGTCACCAGCATGTCATCTAACAGACACTGTGTCCCAGGAATTCCAGCTAACAGCTTGTCCATTGTTTGCTGCCAGAGAGCTGGTGCAGGTGAAATTATTATTATTATTATTTTATTATTTATATAGCGCCAACAAATTCCGTAGCGCTGTACAATGGGAAATGCCAAAAACTATACGGTTATACCTGAATAGCCCCCGATGGGTATTAATCGTAAGTAATGGTCGAGAATCTGGATGTACAGATAACTGTAGGTATGCATTTTTCAAGTCAATTTTGGTGAATTGCCGGCCACCTGGCAATGATGCAAAATATCATCTACCCTAGGAAGGGGATACTTATCTATTTTAAGCTGTGTTAAGAGCCATGCGGAAATCCCCACAAATCCGTATCTCCCCATTTCGTTTTCTCACAGGAACAATGGGCGAAGCCCACTCACTATTGTGAACCCGGGAGATGATATTCAGCTCCTCTAATCTCCTCAATTCTGCCTCCACTCCAGCCCTTAGAGCAAAAGGCACACTTCTTGCTTTAAAACATTTTGGTGTTGCTCCTTCCTTTTAATTCTAAGCAAACTTGTTGTCCCTTTACAGGTGCATACTTTTCCTGTAATTCCCTAATCCAGTCAAGTCTGGTCTGAATTTCATTCAACACATGACATGGATACTTATGCACTTGAGGCATCCCGAGAGCCCTTATCCACTCCCTACCAAAAAGTGGAGGTCCTCCAAGAAAAGATATAGAGAGGTAGTTTCTTCTTACACTTGTTTAATGTAACTGTGACTGTCACACATCCCACTGGTATTAACAGTTCTTTAGAATATGTCTGCAGTCTCGCTGTTGTCTGAATTATTGGCCTATGTATTTTAAGGCTTTTCCAGTCTGTCAAAGAAATCACTGATACATTTGCACCTGTGTCCAAATCCTTAGTCCGTTTCTTTCCATTTACAACAACCTGAACTGTGAGTGCAGCCAGATTAGAACCTATTTTATATATTTTCAAATTTCGGACAGGAAATTGTTCATCCGAATCCTCAGAAGACTCCTGCATTTGTACTCCATAGGCATTCTTTGCTCTGTCTCTCAAGCAATTACTGCCTCTCTCTGCTGTGGATTTACACACTCTTTGTAGGTGGCCCATTTTACCACAAGCATGACACTTGGCATTCTTGAATCTGCATGTAGTTGCAACATGTGTAGCAGCTCCGCAGCGATAACATTTGTAATGTGAATGTTCCTGTTTTGAAAGTCTCTTTCCCTGTGGTTCACTTCGTGCTCTAGTGTCTAATTTTAAAATGTCTACCTCTGCCTCCTGTGTGTTGTCCAGTCTGCTGTGTAATAGATTAGTATCCTTAGAGGCTTGTTCTATAATACTTGCCATGTTCATTGCCTTTTAAAATGTTAAATCTTCTTCTGTAAGCCGTCTCTGAGGAAACATTATCACTTGCAGTGCCCATTACAAACTGGTTTCTCAGAGCAGTGGGCAGGTAGTCCTCAAAACAGCAGGTGCTGGCGAGTTTCCGTAACGCAATGGCATATGATGAAACTGATTCACCAGGCTCTTGTCTTCTTTTATAGAATTTAAATCTCTCTATCTCTAGTGGTTTTGGTTGGAAATGGCTAGTTAACAGAGTAATCAGGCTTGCCAATGGCAGGTTTCTCTGGGTGTAAGAGGCTCCTTAACGTATCATACGTTCTGGCTCCTATAACTGTTAGGGAAACATCGACCTGTTTATTGTCAGGAACGTCATTAGCTGCGAAATATTGTTCAACCCGAGAGGCCCATAAATCCAAGTCAGGATCAAAGTCCTTTATAGTGCCAATGGCTGCCATGTCAGTTAGGGTTCTACAGCCACGTCGCCACTGTGATGTTTTGTACAAATCAGTCAATAATTCCTGTATAATGAAGTACTCATTTTATTAATACATATATAACAGGATCTTCATATTGCAGCTTTGTTACACAGGGTTCTGCAGCTGCCATTTCAAATCCCTCGAACATTCCACCAACAGGAACAGGAAGTAAAGAACCAAAAGAAAGGAAGTGCATCATTCACAGCCAAACAGCCCAACTCCCATACATCACAATACATACACAGCCCAACCGCCCATACATCACAGTTATATTCAAGAGGAAAGGGTGGTCTTACAAGCATTATCCAATACTAAAAAAAATCATCTATCTTGTCTTAACATCTTAACCTATAGCTAGATTGCAGGGGTATCTTCATGTTCAGGCCTTGCACAAAGCGAAGTTTCAATATAACTACGCACTTAGAATTAAAGATATGAACACTGCAGTTCTAAATTACACATTACTAAGCAGTTATGATCAAAGGGAGAAACACAGGAAATAAGGCCAATGGTACAAATACACAGGATATAACACTAACACCTGTTACTCAATGTTCTCTAGCTCTTGTCTAGGGGTATATTCACTAAGCATATATAGATAAAGTATATTATTTCAAATAGCTGACATGCTCCAAGTTAGCCAATTTTAAACAGACTGAACATCCGGTCACCTGTAGCCTTGGGTCAATAGATGCAAAGTGTATTATTCCCAACCGTATGACTGGTCTCCAATGACCTGAAGGTAGTTCACTCAGCGCAATGTAACAAACGTCTGTCTAGGAACTTGTATGGAGCATAAATAGTTATTCTGAAGGAAATTTGCCATGTCTGTCTAGGAGCTTGTGTAACATGCAGTACTAAAACACTGATAGGGGTTCAGCTGTCCCTGGTGTACAAACACTGTCAGTATGACACAGTTTAGTGTGTGGTTAGGGTCACTGGGATTCATGCCAAGCATAAGCGTATGACTTTGACCATAGCATTTTACAAACCTAGCCAGTGTATAAATTTGGGCCGAGGCTGGGGTAGGCAACCTTCAGCACTCCAGATCTGGACTACATCTCCCTGAGGCTTTGCCAGCCTTATGGAAGATATTTTTCAGGGGATATCACTGGAGCTAGGCTAGGTTATACGTATATTGTCACAAAATATAGCAGAATAGGGGTGGGGCTAGCTGAGATACAGAGCAGGCGTGCATGTGTGTTGCTCCGGCTCCACACACTGAAAAAGAAGCCTGATTACCAAAAATAGCACCTCGAAAAGAGCCCAAAAATGCCTTACTGCCTCCCAAAGTGTAATGGGGTGCAAACACAAAATAAAAAAAACACACTTGCCCAGAGAGTGTAAATCACCCCGAGTCACCTGAGTGACACCCACTCCCAGGTGGAAGCCCTTACAAAACAGGTCCAAAGCCTCTCCCATACGGTGGCATCACTGGAGGCAAGACACCGCCAGAGGAATGTCCTGATCCGGGGAGCCCCAGAAACCGTGAGCCCAGAAGCCCTACTGGACTTTGCCCACAAGGTGACACAAGCAATGGGGGTCAGAAAAGCGGGAGACTCCCCGCAATTCGTGGAGGCCTTCAGAATACGGAAGGCACCGGACGCACCCACAGACATTATCGCGGTAACCGAGACACAACAGTGAAATCTGCCAGGCTGCAGAACCCTCCATAAGACTGACCAGGCCGATGGTCTCTGGGGGACTTCATACAGCAGCCATGTAGACTAGAATCCTTGGGGTCCTGTTGCGGACGGACAGCTATAAATGTTCCTACCTGCCACTAGTTTGTTTAAGGCACATTTTGACAGTCTGCTAGAACCATAAAGTTTGTAAGAGTTGTTTTAGCTTTGTTGCGGTATGGTGGGGCACAGTGGGAAAGGAACACACTTGCTGACTTAACTGTTGTGACATCTTAGGGAAATAGGAGAGTGTACACACGAGGGAATGTAAAACTACATCAGGCAAATTGCCTCCTGTCCCAGTCATGTCACCCTCATGGAGATTTAGCTGACCCACTAACCTCCCCCGAGGAGCTTAAGCACCCCATCGTTAATGGCCAATTGTCTCTCCCTATGCAATTTTATGCTTTGTTTTCCCCTACGCGACAGCCTATGTGATAGTTGGCCCCCAATGTTATAATATGAGCTGCACCAGAAATTTAAACAATGCAATTTAGCGGTAGCTGAGACACAGGCTGACCCTGCCTTCTTGCACACAGCCGTACCCACAGGTATTAGTTCCCTTTAATTTCAAGACCTTGGCCCCTACTCAGTGGCATGGAGGTATACTGATTTTGTTTCTAGCCTTATCTGCTCACACAGGGAGTAACCTTGACCAGCTGCTACACATGTTGAAGCCTTACATTTATAGTTATATTTGCCTAACGCCCACCACACATGACAAATGACGTATGTACATATTGCCTGACCGTTTACTTACAACCTTATGCCAGCTTACAAGCCAACCAGAAATCGGCACTACCTGAGAAACATACCATTATTATCTTATTAGTTTAATATATAATTCTTATTATTTTAAGACATCATTATCCTATTATGAATAACGAAGACGCCAGTTACAATACCATTTGTAGCCATTCATTACTACTTAACCTTACTTATAGCAAGACTTGAATTATCCTTTTTATCATGAGACGCGAGCACAGATCACCCAAGCGTTGGACCAGTGCTTTCAGGATAATGATGTGCCGGATACTTTTCCGGTCTCAATATGGGAAGCCCACAAGAGCGTCATCAGGGGCACACTTATCCAAATAGCTTCCCGAAAGAAAAAGGCAGCCGCACGTGAAATGGCAGATCTCTACAAATCTATTTCGGACCTGGAACAACGACACAAATGATCCTACCTGATGGAGACGTACGGGGAACTCATTCAGGCCAGGCGACAACTGAAAGATCTCCTCACGAAACGCTACCTCAGATCCCTACAACATTCCAAGGGGTATTTCTATGCTCATGCCAACAAGGGATGTAAATACCTGGCGCATCTTTTGAAAGGAAATGCCCCTCGCACGCAGGTCCGCTACTTACGCCTCTCGTCAGGCACCACGACGACCTTCCCGAACAAGATAGCAGGAGAATTCAGGAAATACTACCACTCGCTTTATAATATACATGTAACTGATGGAAACGACGATTCAGACGCGGAGGATGCCCGGACACGGGACTACCTACAGGAGTCTATCACGAGAACGATCAGCTCGGATACGGCAGAACGCTGGACACCCTCATTTCTGTGGAGGAGCTCCTGGCGGCCCTGAAGTCGGCCAAAATGGGTAAAACACTGGTCCCGGACGGCTTCTCCGTGGGGTATTATAAAACATTTTCCTCCATATTGCTACCATGGTTCACAAAGGCCATCACTGCAGTCGCTGAAGGGGGGAACTTCAGGGCAGAATCTCAGGCGGCTATAATAACTGTTCTACCGAAGCCTGGAAAGGACCCAACGGTATGTGGCAGCTATCGCCCAATCTCCCTGCTGAATGTGAATGTCAAATTGTTCACTAAGGCACTGGCGACTAGGCTCCGGTCCGTCCTACTGGCTCTCATTCATGTGGACCAAAAGGGATTTGTACCTGGTCAAGAGGCACGAGATAGTACCCTGAGGGTATTTGCAATACAACATAGAGCGAGGATGACGCAGCAACAACTCCTCCTCGGACGCCGAAAAGGCATTAGACCGGGTGAGATGGCGATACATGTTTGCCACTCTCAGTAAAATGGGGGTTGGACAAAGACTCCTCACGTGGATTTGGGCGCTTTACAACAACCCACGGGCCGCGGTGCGGAAGAACGGGACACTCGCCACTGACTTTGCAATCTCCAATGGCACAAGGCAGGGATGCCCACTGTCCCCATTGCTATTTGCCATGTCCCTGGAACCCCTGCTCCAAACTATCAGACAACATCCTGACGTTCGGGGATATTCCTGGCAAGGGGTGGAACACAAAGTATCCGCATACGCGGATGATCTTTTATTTTTTTATCACGTCACCCTGAACCACGATGCCCTGCCTGATGGAGGCACTTGAACAATTCGGTAAGATATCGGGTTTTAAACTTAACCTATCCAAGTGTGAGGTGCTTAACATCACCATCCCTGACGCAGAATACCGGGCTCTGGATTCCCTGTTCCCTTTCCAATGGTGCCCCTGTAAAATGAGATACCTTGGGATTTGGATCACATCGGATCCGGGAGAGCTTTACCCACTTACCCACAAAACTTCACCACACTACTGAAGACGATACTGGCGGATCTAGAGAGGTGGGCCTACCCACATATATTGTGGTTCGGAAGGATAGCAGTTCTTAAAATGAACATCCTACCCAGGCTCCTATATTCGTTTCAGACAGTCCCACTGGCCATACCCACACACTTTTTCTCCACATTGAGGTCGGCAGCTATCCGCTATGTTTGGAGGGGGGAGAGATCGAGGCTCCGACATGATCTACTCTGCTTGCCGAGGCACCGGGGAGGACTGGCGCTGCCTGACTTTAGACGATATCACCAAGCCACCGTCCTTCAGCGCATGCAGGAGTGGCACACAAACACGCATCTGAAACAGTGGGTAGCTCTAACCAGGGACAGACGGGAGGCTCGCCTAAAATCTACCACATGGGCAGGGGGATCTAGAGTTGGTGGCAGAGGAGAATCGGCGGGAATAGTAACTCAGACGCTTATCAGCTGGAAACTCATGAGGGACCAACCTCATATCTCACCCATGCCCAGCCCACTACTTCCCAAAGCCGACAATCCGGCGATAGGAGGGGGATTCCCGTTAAGGGCATGGTTTTGCGAGATGGCACCCTGCGGTCCCTGGACTCCCTGTTGGGAGAGACACCCCGAACTCCCCTGATAATGCTACGTTACATGCAGGTAAAGCACTATTGACACCGTACGTGACAAAGAATGACTGCACAGGGACCTCACTTGGTTCGAGGCGAGATGCGAGAGGGGCTCCTCACTGGAAAAAACGATATCCACCCTCTACCAACATCTCTTGGTGGGACACTTGGCGGAGAACGATACCTTCCGCAGGCAGTGGGAGGCGCTGATGGACATCACCTTCACACCCCTACAATGGGAGGGTGCATTACTCTGGCAGCACAAAAGCTCCATCAGCTCACATTGCCAAGATATGAATTACAAACTAATCTCACTCTGGTACAGGACCCCGACGCTGCTCCACAGGATCTTCCCGACGACGCCCCCAACAATGTTGGAGATGCCTCGAGGAGAGTGGCACAACAATACATATATGGTGGAAATGTCGACTTCTCGTCCCATATTGGGAGATGATCAGGGAGAAGATAACCGAAATCATAGGAGAAACGACAGAATGGACAGCGGCCCTGCCCCTTCTACATATTTCGAAGATGTCGATTGCCATGTATAAAAAATCGATCTTACGTCATTTGCTCAATGCGGCCAAAGCCCTGATCCCACTATACTGGAAGAAGACGGAGGCACCCCGAATGGAGGAATGGATTCGTAGGGTGGAGGACATTCAGGGAGCGGAGGCGATGCAAGCCTCACTACTTGGCAGGGGGGACAGACACGCAGAGATGTGGCGGCCATGGTTCGCATTTGTGTCCCGTAGCTGATAAGGCGGGATGGAACGGGAGGGGCGGGACACGCGGGGGGGACAGCTGGCCCGACGGGGCGTGACCATTCCTGCCTGTTTTATTCTACCCTACCTAACCTATACTTAGGCCCTGGGGCAACTCTTCTTCCCTCTCTACCAACCTAGTTCTGATTTTCACCTGTAACCTTTACATACACACGAGCAAATGGATAAGACACACTCACACTATAGTGATAAGCCGTATCTTGTCCGGGACCAGTCAGTGCGATCATAGAAAGACAGCACTATACAGGGAGTGCAGAATTATTAGGCAAATGAGTATTTTGACCACATCATCCTCTTTATGCATGTTGTCTTACTCCAAGCTGTATAGGCTCGAAAGCCTACTACCAATTAAGCATATTAGGTGATGTGCATCTCTGTAATGAGAAGGGGTGTGGTCTAATGACATCAACACACTATATCAGGTGTGCATAATTATTAGGCAACTTCCTTTCCTTTGGCAAAATGGGTCAAAAGAAGGACTTGACAGGCTCAGAAAAGTCAAAAATAGTGAGATATCTTGCAGAGGGATGCAGCACTCTTAAAATTGCAAAGCTTCTGAAGCGTGATCATCGAACAATCAAGCGTTTCATTCAAAATAGTCAACAGGGTCGCAAGAAGCGTGTGGAAAAACCAAGGCGCAAAATAACTGCCCATGAACTGAGAAAAGTCAAGCGTGCAGCTGCCACGATGCCACTTGCCACCAGTTTGGCCATATTTCAGAGCTGCAACATCACTGGAGTGCCCAAAAGCACAAGGTGTGCAATACTCAGAGACATGGCCAAGGTAAGAAAGGCTGAAAGACGACCACCACTGAACAAGACACACAAGCTGAAACGTCAAGACTGGGCCAAGAAATATCTCAAGACTGATTTTTCTAAGGTTTTATGGACTGATGAAATGAGAGTGAGTCTTGATGGGCCAGATGGATGGGCCCGTGGCTGGATTGGTAAAGGGCAGAGAGCTCCAGTCCGACTCAGACGCCAGCAAGGTGGAGGTGGAGTACTGGTTTGGGCTGGTATCATCAAAGATGAGCTTGTGGGGCCTTTTCGGGTTGAGGATGGAGTCAAGCTCAACTCCCAGTCCTACTGCCAGTTCCTGGAAGACACCTTCTTCAAGCAGTGGTACAGGAAGAAGTCTGCATCCTTCAAGAAAAACATGATTTTCATGCAGGACAATGCTCCATCACACGCGTCCAAGTACTCCACAGCGTGGCTGGCAAGAAAGGGTATAAAAGAAGAAAATCTAATGACATGGCCTCCTTGTTCACCTGATCTGAACCCCATTGAGAACCTGTGGTCCATCATCAAATGTGAGATTTACAAGGAGGGAAAACAGTACACCTCTCTGAACAGTGTCTGGGAGGCTGTGGTTGCTGCTGCACGCAATGTTGATGGTGAACAGATCAAAACACTGACAGAATCCATGGATGGCAGGCTTTTGAGTGTCCTTGCAAAGAAAGGTGGCTATATTGGTCACTGATTTGTTTTTGTTTTGAATGTCAGAAATGTATATTTGTGAATGTTGAGATGTTATATTGGTTTCACTGGTAATAATAAATAATTGAAATGGGTATATATTTGTTTTTTGTTAAGTTGCCTAATAATTATGCACAGTAATAGTCACCTGCACACACAGATATCCCCCTAACATAGCTATAACTAAAAACAAACTAAAAACTACTTCCAAAAATATTCAGCTTTGATATTAATGAGTTTTTTGGGTTCATTGAGAACATGGTTGTTGTTCAATAATAAAATTAATCCTCAAAAATACAACTTGCCTAATAATTCTGCACTCCCTGTAGTAATCTCATTCGCACCTATCACGAATTCCACCAATGGCTTATGGACATACGCAAACCCTTAAAGGGCGGGATAGCTGGGGCGGACAGACCCATAAAAGGCCTTATAATCACTGGCAACACACACAGGTTCATATTTGCATGTAGTGAGCGGCCTTAGTAGCCACATGGAGCTCTTTGAAAGCCAACGGCACCTGGACTGGTTGAGACCCCACTATAGCATAGCACCTCTTTAGCCACTTAGCACTGAGTGCCCTGGGTTGCAGGGTGCACACAAAAGGCATGACGCTCTAAGGGATGGCCTACAGCTACACACATTTGTACCATACCATGTGCTGATTGTTGTTGTGCGATGCTTAAAGTACCCGGCCTGTATGGGCCTGGTATAGCCTTACATGATGAACACTTCACCCACTATGTATGTGACCTTACTGTGCTATGTGCAACCAGGACCTGCGAGTCTTCACTATTGAAAACGTTTGTATTGACAAGCTCTGTTTCTATACCCGCAAAATCTTAATAAAACATTTAAAAAAAAAAAAAAAGAATTATCCTGTTTACTTAGCAAAACTGTGCATTTTGATTGTATGTCATGACACTGAATGCCTTGATTTGCCTTCTACTGCTATTGTGGCATTGCAGGTCTGTATGTAAACCTTTTTGCACAACAAAAATAAAGAATATTAAATTATATATAGCAGAAGAAAAATTGGGTTCTTTACAGAAGCAGACATCTCAGATTTATAAACCATTATTTTCTTGCACATAAGACTTGAAAGAGGAGCCGAACATTGGGTCACCTTCTTTGTTTCAAATAAAAAAAATACTGCATTTTAGAGGAAGCATCAGGTGTGCCTGAATATTTCTTTTTCTTACATTTGATGTCTTCAGGGATTGGCCCTCCCTTTCTGGAGCACCCTGCAGAAAGTATTACCCCTTTTTAGTGTGTGTATTACAGTCTTGTGGTTTGTTTTGTTTTTTTGCAAACAACTGTCAAGAAGAGGAAATGAACATCCTGTTCAAATTAGCTTACCTTCTGGAAATATTAAATTCATAGCAAAAATAAAATGTGGGGGGGGGGAGGAAATAAGCATAACCTTTTATTCATTTCTGCTACGTTTGGCACAAAGGTTGACTAAATGGCTATATAAAGACTTGAAATGCCCCATGTGAAATAGCTTGGGGTGCAAACCGGATAGTGTGACTTTTAGATAATCAGCCTATAATGGGACATGGGTGCAGGACGTCAGACAGACAAAAATAGGGGTGTTTGTTTACTAAACTGCAAATGATGGTGAATTGATAACCAGATTACAATATTTAGCCTAAATCCTATTAACCAGAGCACTTTACATATTTTCATCAATTTAATGCATATTTCTTAGTCAGTGGGGTGTAAACAAACTCAGACAATAGCAGTAGAGGTGAAATTGTGAAAATCAATACATGAAGTGTTAAAATACTTTTCATGTATTGTAAATACACGATGGGGACTTATAAATATGTGCTGTATAGCGGTTTCAAATTTAGTGATTTGTTATTAAAGAATCGCTCTGGGCTGCATATCCATTTCATCTCACCTCTTTGAAATTGTTATGGTGCATGGCGTCTCCAGCTACCATCCTGCTACTCTTGAATGATTTGACACTAAATAAGCGTCCCTCATTGCTTCTCTGACTTCTACATTAGCCTAAGCAGCAGTCAGAGGCAGTGATTGGCTGCCTCTCAGCCTATTACTGTCTCCCATATCTGGTATGAGTTGGTATGGCTAAGATGGCTTGTAACACTGCCTTTGCTAAACCACCAACGGGATGTGGGTAGCTGGGGACCATTATTTAGTGTTAAAGCTTTGGAACATGTTTTACCACCATGAAATAGTGCCTGGGGGCACTGAGCATCATAATGACTTTAATGAGATGAAGTGGTTATGGTGCCTAGAGTGCATTTACAGTCCTCACATACCAAAATTTGTAGCTTTATAACTTTAAAACTAATTCATTCTTGCACTGTCTGACCTTAAACATCTATGTAAATCATAGGCAAAAGCAATTGTCTAAAGTCAAAACAAATATAGCATTATGATGTACCAGTAGATTTCTCGCCCTCTCTAATGCTGAAAGGGTTAAATGCGGAACGTAAACCCGCAGTAATATCTGTGAGGAAGGGGCCACCTATGATGTTTTCTCTGTCCCTATCTCCCTGCATAGCACCTGTTTTTCCTGACCTCTGCTCCATTACACCAATTTGTAGCATTTATCAGATGCGTGCAACATACCTCCCCACACACTCCCATTGTGTCATTTCATTAATTCCACCTGAATGACAACCAAACAGAGGGGTCATCTCCCTTGTTAGTTTCCTGGTGTAATAGGCACATAAAGTTCTCCCAACCCAAGATACAAGGTGGATTACGGTTTAAACACAACTTAAAGGGGAACTGCCATTTTCCTCTACTTTATCCCTGTATTAACTATGTATTTGTGAGGTGTGAAATATAATCAAAATAAACTTTAATCCACACCACTAATTCTGCAACTGGGTGCCTTCATCTTATCTCCCTGTCAATCATTGTTATAAACTCCATCCGTTGCAACTGGTTGTCAGAATAGAGAAAACATACAGAGTAATTAAACCATGTTTCTATCTATCCTTCATTTGCGATCTTTGACCTAGCATTGCGGTCTAAACCGGATTATGATGGTAATTTGCTAATTTCTCAGTTTTATAGGTGATTTCCATTGTTCTACTCTGTGGTGTAAATCCCCTTAAAATCTTCAGTGTGACTATAATGTTTGCAGGAAAAGTAGCATGGTGCTGTGGTGGTAAAAAGAAATCTATGGAAATAAACTGCAATATCCCAATATTCCCTTTCGTTCTGCAATAAGAAAATCCCCATTTCATGCTTCCAAAAACTGGGAGGTATATGCTTGTTCATTTGAAGTGAACCTGTCAGCCACAAATACTCTGAAGGAAAAGATCATTCTGATGGGTTTAAAATTAAATGTCTGTATATTGTCTTAGGAAATGTGGCATCTAATGTATAGCTTAGAAAATATCTCAATGCCAACAGCATGAAAATGATCGCTAACCAGGGACCTTAAAATACAATTTGGCTAGCATGATGTACAGGTTAATCATTTTTTTTTTTTTTTTTTTAATGATGTGACACCATGTAACTATTTTGTATGATGTATGTACTAACAATACGTTAACGGCATGTATCCAGTGATCTGTAAATTACATGCTGCATATAAGAAAATTATATCTTTATGTAAGAATGTTATGTTGTGAATAGTCTTGTACATGGTGGGAAAAGCATTTCAACTGAATCAATTCGTCTAGAAAGGTAAAAACAATTGATCAATTGAATTTCATCCATGACGGTGGCTGTGGCTCAGCTTGTCTTAATATCCTTCATGCAAATTATTTGGTAACAGACTTAGCCAAACCAAAAGGGCACAAAAACTGGCCAATCAATGGACAAAATATTTACACAATATTATACAGAGTATATATGGTAATTGTTGAAGATAATTCTGTCCAAATAATGACCAATTAGAATGGTATTTTACCATTTAAATTCAGTTCACATTTGGGCACCATTTGCGCCATTTAAGCATCCGGTTACTCTTGAGCATTCAATTGTGAATTTTAAGCATTTTGTCCAGCTTATCCTTGGCTTATTTTTTTTTTTTTTTTGTGAATGTTTTTATTGAACATTTTTTGTTGTTGTTTCCAACATGGAAAAGAAAAACATGGACTCGCAGGTCCCTTTGGTTATTTGTATATGCTTATACATGGTAAGGTACGGTCTGTCAGACGTGTATTGGCGACTCGCAGGTCGCTTTCTTTAATAAATGGCGTGTGTATGGTGGACTCGCAGGTCCGCTAGTACATAGTTATGAATAGTACTCTTTTATGTTTGATGTGTACCATTTCTACGTTGGGTAGGTTTGTATCTCCTGCAGGTTTTCGTCTATTCCCCCGTGCCCACCCTGTAGCCACTAGGCAGTAGTGAGACATTTGGGCCTCCTAATGTGTAGGGTCCCATCAGGACACGCAGACCCCTTGTGACCTCGTGTCTAGAATCCTGAATGGCGGTATAGTGGGGTGTTGACCCCCTACTATGGTACGATTCGGCTCTGCCCAGCGCTACATATGGTGTTGATGGGGATAACCTATGGGCCATCCTGTGTTTCCGTCTAAACTAATAAACTTTGTAGCTCACGAAACTGGTGCGCTTCCACCCCCTGCACCCGCGAGGCCGTAGGCCGTTTTGGGTATTGCAGGCGGCCACACCCTGACAGGTGTCATAGCCCCCCAGTACGCTCCCGTGGAGTCTGCATCCGTGCCGCCCCCGGGCCCCTGAGCCCATGCTCTGCCCGGACCTGACAGGGGGTAGGGGGTGGGGTAGGGTATGGGAGTAAGGTACTGTGCTTTGGGGGCAGGTGTGGGTTGTCCCGTTAGTCTCCTGGTGTCTCCTCCTGGGGATTATCCTTGGCTTATTTACCAATTATTTATTGATTTGATTTAATGGCAGGCCCCTTACCATCAGTAATCGCCAATAAACAAATTTTGTAATTCGGTCACATAGTGGTTTGGAGTTGGGTAATTTGGCAAAAAAGCCAAAATCTGAATGAATTTAAATTTAGGGTGACCTGGATGCACAAGTCTATCGTGAGCACTAAACTCTGAATTGCAGGACATTGAAATATCAATATTTATGAACTGGTCATTAATCGAGCTGTTTAGTCACTGCTGTTGGAGCCAAACATAAATCATTTAAGCCAAAATAACTTATCTGGAAACAGACTGCAAACTTGCCATAAGCTTGGCTATTTTGACATTTTGGATTTTAATTTGTTGAATTCCTGGATAAATAGCTAATATGGAAATATTGACCACTCTCTTATTGTCACAGCTTGTCTACTTTTGCCTGAATTTTGCAATTCACTACAATTCGGAGTTTAGTGAATAAATCACGTGTGGTCGGTGAGCACAGTGCTGTACCTGCATAATATCACCGGGTGTTTAATTAAATTGACTATTATTTTGGGTGTCAATGTACATTAGGTGAGTGAAAAAAAGAAGCACAAAGTTGTACTTTGTGTCATTTATATCTGCTCCAATGCCTCCAACAGCAGTGCCTGTCCAGTTGGATTAATGATCAATTACCCAAACCTGCTAACGATTTTCTGGAAGTCAGCAGTTCTGCGACTGACCCTCCATGTTTAGCAGAAATTCAGTTCAGTTTTGGAGACCGGCAGATCGAGCGCAATGGAGAACAACAGCACATATGGCAATGGCACCCCGATACAACAGTTCAATATCTCGGATATCATAGTGATTGTGGCATACTTCATGCTGAACGTGGCTGTGGGAATTTGGGTGAGCAAATCCTTTTTCTTTATAAACCCTTTAAGGATTATCTACTAAAAACATGAATTGTTGTCAATCA